GAGGAATGAAAGTCCCATTTTTCATCCAGGTGTTCATATGGTTAGGTCAGGCTTTATAATGCTTCCGTGAGAGCTTAAAGGGTAATTGTCTTGGTCACAGTAGAGGAAAAAAACATGGACTTTTTTTTGGGGGGGTGCACAACTTTGTATCTCTGTTGGTTGTTTTAAGTGTTGGACCTGAATTTTTACCTCGAACAGTCATAAAATCTTTAAAAAATGGCTAAAAGTAACATTGAGGTCCATTGATCTATTAATCTTTCTCAAGGAATGATCACCTATGCCATTATTTGCAGATTTGTGTTTGGTCTGTTCTTCCATGATGGCCGTTGTACTACCTTTGCAGTCAGTGGTTCAGTGCTCTACTTTCTTCATCATTGGATGCTTTTTCATGTCTAGCTTGTCTGCCATGTTACAGCACGAGTGTTACTTCTTGTGTATTGCATTATGTGCGTAGGGAATATTGTTCTCCAATCCTGTATCCAGCAAACTTCTATGTACTTGAGGATGGTTACTGTGCTGTCTTTGGTCTTAGCAGTCCTGTTCCTCTGTCATTCTCTGTAGGTCCAGCTTTTTATGATTCTTAATTTTTCTTTGATGGTTTTCTTGATGGGCCACTTGGCCTTAATTGAGCTAAATAAACTATAACTTTCCAGATTAAAATGAAAGGATTCAACAACAGGGTTCACTGTCTAACTGGATAAACACTTGTCCAAGGGCAGGGCACAGTAACAGGAACAGAATCACTTCTTTCAGCAGGCTTGTGCCAACTTAAAATAATTGTGGTGGTACATTTTAGCAGCTTTAGAAGCTTTTCAGCATAATGCTAAAAGATAACTAACTCTGACACTAAGTTAGTTCTGAAGAGGTCCCTGTTCATGTGTCAGGCATACTACAGAACAGCTGCAGGTTATTTTAACAATGATAATTTGGTTTTAGGAAAATATATGTCTTGTAGCAAAAGTATGCAATCTAGTTTTTGTTTTCCAGCATTTGTAAAACATAAATGTTATCTCTCATAAGAGTATTTTATATAAATCCATGGTGACCTTAGTATTAAGTAAGCTTACTACATTTTTCTGCTGATAATTTGTGTTTTGAAGTGTGCTGCAGAAAGTTTGTACCTATAGACAGATGCTCAAAAAAATATTTTACTGAAACCTAGAAACTCAGAGACATGAATGCAGGTAAAACAGCTCTGTAAATTTTTAACTATCAAAACTAGGGAGAATGGGGTTGTCACAAGTCATGACTTAAGAAATCTGTAGATCAGCAGTGCTCTGTACCTCTAGAGTTTGGTGATTTACAGTACACCTGACTGGAAAATCGTGATGAAAATGTTATTTGAAATACTAACAGTGAGCTGCCTTTTGCAGACCAGTCCAAAAATACCTCATGATTTATCATCTGTAAACACCTCATAAAGCCCACATCCTTGTTTAGTAATATTTGGAGCTATGCATGTTTGCATCAGCTCATGATACAACCTGTTTTGCATAGTGAAGTGTTTGTAGCTAAAAGAATAGAAATCAAAGGTCTTCATAGAATAGAATAGTCTTTTGAATTTGTAAGCCATTTGATTTCTAAAGGAGAGGGATGAGTGAATAGAACTACCTATGATATTTAAAACTGGCCTTGGAATAATTACATTGCTGATCCAGTAACGTGGGGCAAATTGCAGTTTTTATCTTTCATGTTATTACCAGCATTTGCAAAGTATCAGGACACTCCAGGAATTATGATGAACTGTAACAGCTTTGGAAGCTGCCATAAGGATTAAGAATTTTAGTGCAGGCTCTAATTTAATTTTCTGCTGTATTCAAGACGCTTGCTGTGTAGCAAGTTTTTATGAGGTATATGAAAGGCGGAGCAACTTGTAAGAAGGTGAGGCTCCTGTGGTGCACATAATTTCATTTTGTGGTATGGAAGTATTTAAAAAGCATGGTGACATTTTCTGAATCATATCTGTACTGTTTGCTAAATGTAAACAACTCTATCAAACTGTATATAGTGCCTTTTTGTTCCACCATTTTTGATCTGTTTTCATATTTCTATTCTTTCACGTGCAATTGACTATCATTACTTGAACAGTTTTTCTTTTTTCTTAAGGAAGTCTAATGAACTGTGCAGAAACCACAGGCACTAGCAGCTCTTACTATCACAATTAACTTGGCCTGTTCCTGCAGTTGTGGCCTTTTGAGAAATTGTTGAGAAGTGAAAAAGAAAAAAAAAAATATATTACTTCCAATACATTTGGAGTCTGGGTCAGATCTTGTCGATACCATCTTTAGGCTGCACTTGTCCCACTGATTTCTGGTATTTTTAAACCTGTTTTTAAGTTAGTGTCACTGCAAAGTTGAAACTGATGACCTGTTTTTGATTACCTCATACACTGGTGTCAGTCAAGAATGAGCTGTATTGAAGTACGTGAAGTTTAGGTGTGTAAAAGCAGTATGAAAGGAGCATTTCATCACTGTAGTCTGAATGTGGCTTGCAGTGGCATTTCCATCTGATCTGCTTGCGGGTGGCTGTAGTCAGAGCAAAGATTCATTTAGCTCATATACTGGTTTTGAGACTGTCTGATATTGGAAACTTCAGGAAAGGGATTATGAAACAGGGCAGTTATGGAGCGACGTATCATGTATCTTCATGTATCTTCCCAGCTACTGATGGTTGGCCAGACTTCCTGAGCTAGAAATTTTCCTTGTAAGAGAAAGAGTACAGCTGTTCAGGCAGCTGTAATAGCCAAGTGCCCCTTGTTATGTCTGACCTATATTCCCTGTGATGATATTTCCCAGCCTTGTTAATTTTCCAGGGCCTGCTTGGCTTCTGGCATGGGTGCTCTGGCAGGCTTCAGTGCCTTTTGGGGGGCAGAGTATGGTGAGCCCCAGCAGAGAGCTCACCCGCCACGGCAATGAGCGGTACCCAGTGCCTGCATGCTGTGTGCAGGCAGAGGGGCAACTGCTTGGTTCAAATAGCTGGTCTTGGAGTTTATAAAGCACCCCTGACTGCTGTATGTTAAAATTGAAGTAAGACCCATTCTGAGAAGGAGTTTCCTAAAGCGGGATGGTATTGGGTGTAGCCATTCTTTGCCTTCCCTCAGAACATTTTTTCTTCTGCTACTTGCAACTCGGCTTTAGGAAGGATTTTGACAGCTAAGTTCTGTGGTCGTTAAGCCAAAATTATTTCAGCTTTGAAAAGTATTTGAATAACAGTCCTGGGATGATTTGACTTGCAAAAGAGAGCAAGGGGGAGAGAGGAAAATTTACCTATGTTTGCAGATTTTTGCCATATGGTTTCAGAGAGGGTGGGTGATTTGCTCATCAAAGTCCTAGTTTTGTTTGAAGTCAATGGCCTGTTTACAGTGCTTTTATACTTACATGCAACATGGGAAGTCCAACAGCCTGGCCCATAGCTATTGGAGAAATCACTTTGTCATGGAAAGCCACTGCAAGCTGCAAGTGTGACAAACTGTACATCTAAGAAGTTCTTGGAAGATGCTGTTTTTTAAGAGGTATAAAGCACTGGCAGGTTTGAACTTAAGCATAAAATAAAGCAGACTCTGGCTGAGTTACTCTGTCTATGTGATCAGAGCCTTTTCTCCTTAAGAAGCTGAGCAGACAAGCTAAATAACGTTCTTGTTTCCTCAGATTCTACCTTCACATCCATGCAATGCCAAGGCCTGTACTCTGAAGACAACATACATTTCAAATTCAAATAATTCTCGCTGGTCTCTGTTGGAGTTGTTCCAGATTGTGCTAGTCATGCTGGATCAGAACCAGGCTATGTGCCTTTGTAATAGTCAAATACCTCTCAAAATACTTCTCTCTGTTAAAAAATATCTGACAAATTTGTGGCTACTTTAGGTAGACCTGTTTAGAAAAACAGAAATACAAATTCAAGATGCAGATACAGAGTCAAGTTGTTGCATGTCATCTGAGCCCTGGTGACTGTGCACATGTTCTTAGCCTCTCACGAATACACAGTATCTCAGTGAAATAGCCTGTTTCTCTGCTTGGTTTACCCACATGATAATGAGTTAAGATCATACAGGGAGTCTTACAAACATCAGGTGAGGCATGACAACCCATGTTTAGTCAGCAGTGCCTTTGAGCCCATAGGCTTTTGGGAAAGCCTGCTCCTTTTGTATTGATACTATGTGTTGTATATATGTACAAGTTTGGAGGGGGAAAATTATTTACATCTGACCTCCTAGAATGAATTTAAGATAAAATTATAGCCAAACATGAATATACACAAATATTTTCATGCAGGGGGTATAATACAAATTTTCACAGAGGCTCTTCAGAATGTGATTAATTTATCAAGTCTTTCCACAAAGTTCACTAGCAATTAGTTCTCCTTCACAGGTGAAAGTCAAAGCCCTAAGTAATAAGGAGGAATGTAAGGAAATGTTTCAGAATTCTGTAATCTGTTATCTTTCTCTTAATTTTACTTAGTTGATTTAAACATCATGATCCATCAGGTTCCATCAGTCATCAATCACCTTCCATTCTGTAGCTATCATATGAACTGTATTCCAAAGCACTGGATGCAAATTGTGGTATGTGGTGTTAAGATGATCAGAGTCAAAAGGATACCAGTTGAATACTTGTAGTGACTTTAAATTATTTTTTCATTTACCTGTGTTTCTTGTGTTTTCTTGTTCATGTTAATTCATTGTCTATATTTCTTGTTAAACTGGCTGATTTTGCTTTGAGATTCCTTTTCAAAGCTAGTTTTGTCTTCTCCTTCCCTCAGACTCCCCCCTCCTCATCCATTGTCCCATTTGCAGTGTCTTTAGTGCAGCCCATCAAAGGTAGGCATTTTCAAAAAGTTTTTTCTTCTTCTAAGCTTTAGTGCCTAATTAAATAGATTGCTAAGAGATTGCAGAAAGCATGATTTGCTCTTTTCCTTACCTTCCATGCACAGGTTTCAGATCAGAATTTGTGAGTAAATGGGATAGCAGCGTCCCAAAATATTCCTGTGCTAAGATTGTGACGATGGACAGAATACAAGGAGACTGTGCCAGTCCTGTGCCACCAGGAGATGCGGAGAGGAGCAGGACTGGAGAACAAGACCCAGGACTAATTGTGTTGGGAAAAGCACGTGAGTTCTTCCAGATTTGTGATCTGGAAGGCAAAGGCTTCATCACTCAGCAAGACATGCAGGTAAAACAAAATTGGCTATGTGAAAGGCACAATGAGAGAAGCTCTTAATGCCCTTAATGAGTTGAGACTGATTAATTTAGAGTTAAAAATTGTGGCAGCCTCCTGATACCTTTAAAGAGATATGTAGGATTTAAAATAATCTCTTTGAAGTCTTTCTTACATAATACTTGCATTTGTTTCCACAGACAAAGCAACAAAAAAGTGGAAAATCAAAATAAGTGAAATTTAAAAAAATGCCCAGGAATTTAGTTCCATTCTTGTTGAGAAAGTTGAGACTCCAGTAAATTCGTTACTTTGTGATTTGCCAAAGCATCATGAGTGTATTCCGTCCACCAATTTTATCCTTCTGTTTTTTCAGCAAAATTGTGTAAATAAAGTCATTCACTTTGGTTTCACCTGCCAGACAATGGTGAACCCTCAGCTGGATCACGTATATATGTAGGAAGCATAGAGGAACAGTATTTTAGCATTATTCAGTGTTCACAATAATCTTACCAAATTGTTCTTAAATTGTTTGAGGGGCCAAAATCAGATTTGCTGAAAATGTTGATGAAAAAAAGCAACTATATAACAAAATCTTTTGAAAATGGAATTGGGCGCATATTGCAGAAATGATAAGGTGATTTGAAGCAGTATGTAGCAGAAAACAAGAATGTACTCCTGCTTGACATGCAAAGCATAATTTCATTGTGTTCATCCATTTCTACTTCAGTACTTATGAATGAAATAGAACTGGGGAGTGATAGCAAATAAATTCAGCGCAAACTACTACCAATGGAAAGCATCTAATATAAAATTTAGAAACCTTCCACATCGTCAGAAACAAATATGTGTCTGCATATAGGAAAATGCAAGCGAAACACTTTTAACTACCTGTGTTGGAAAACCAAAAACCTCATAGTAAATTGCTCAGGTTACTAGCTCTCAAGAGCTTTCTGTGTGTTGCAGAGTTTTGCGATGACCTGTGCTAATTCTGCAAAGTTGAAAAAAGATAGGAGTGCAGATGCTTGCTGTGCTGCAGGCTTTACCAATATACATTATCTCATTGAAGTAACTGAATGCAAACAAACAATTATGTTGTTAGTGGTGATTTTGGTAAATTCAGACCCATAGAGAATTTAATGGATTATAATTTTACTGTCTTTCCAAAAAGTGAACATCATATATTTTCACCTAGTGGAAGACCCATGTATGTGTATGTATGTATGTGTATATAAAAAGTTTTAATATCTGTTTTTGCAAGAAATGTAAAAACATTTGTTTATGTTTGATTCTGTTTTATGCTTATAGTGCTGATAAATTTATACTTCAGGTTCTGAAACAGATGTTGCAAAAGATGCAGTAGAAAAAGGGTTGCAAAGGGTGGCAAAGAACAGATAAAGTACGTCTTCTATTTCACCATGAGTATTTTTTTACCATATCTGACAACTTCGGTATGTATGTAAGTGTCTGGTTCATTTAAATACAGAAATCAGTGTGCTCAGAACACTTGAGAAGATGTTTCTTTATATTTGCTTTTGTTCCCTGCTGATCCAATTAAAGATAATACTACAAATACAGACCTTTTGAAGATACTGGATTATCCTTATTCCACTCAACACTTTAGTAAATCAAGACTAATTCAGCTGAAATCAATGCAGTTCCATTAACAAAAAACTGGGGCGAGACCCATCTCCTCAATTTGACTTTACAGTAATTTAGTGACAGTGAATAAAAATTATGAATGAAAGTCTTTTACATTAATTGCAGCAATTCAGAAACTAATCTAATTAATAGAGATTTATTTGGACACCAGTGACAGTAATCTACAATATTTTCTAATAGATTTGGTACCCATTATTTTATTGATATTAAAAAAATGTTGTTTTATACTGAACAACTGTACATTAGACATATACTGTTACAATTATTCATTATGCTTGATTAGAATGACTAGTTCACTAGAATCCCTGTATTGCAAACGTGAGTTTGAAATCAGTATAGTTGATTTTGATTGCACTTTTCATGATGTTCACTCTCTATAGTAAAGACGTAAACGAATAAAATCCGTTTTTTCCTTAAAAGGTACCAAGTGTTGATCACTTTTGCATCCTGCTGTTTGTTAGTTCAGTACTACTTACCATTAATGAAGAATTGCTTCAAATACAAGATGCTAACATTATGCTTTTTCATCTCTAGTCATGTGATACAAGGCATGATTTTCAACAGAGAGTGCTGAGTATCTAAAAGTGCTTAGTATCTAAAATCCAATTAACTTCAGTGGAACAGATCTTGTAAACAAAGTTTTCTGGTGTGTCTATAATACAGTAATTATATTAAAAATTTACTTCCCCCTGATTATATCATGCTGTTTATTTTGAGATTATGTTAGTACTGGTGGTTTGGAATTTTTCATTCCATTTCAAAACATTAAATGTGCTCAACTTTCAAACAAACAAGAGGTTTTCTGAAATTGCAAGAAAGCAAATTCTACCTGAGACTTGAAACCACAGCTTTGCACCTCGGGCCTTGAGGTTATAATGAAAAATGAGAATTAATGTTGTAAATTTTTTTTTTTTTATATGCATGTAGGAGAATTGAGTTCAGATCTTGACTTAGCTATTTGACCTCTGTCTTTTTAGTTAGCAGAGTAAAAGCTTGGTATTTTCAGATAAGTAAGCATAGACATCATGAAAGCACAGAGCACAGTGGGTGGTAATGCAGATAATTTCTCTTTAAGCACCAGTGGTGTCTTTGGATATGTTTTATTTCTTTTTTTTTCTTTTTTTTTTTTAATTTTTAAGAGCCTCATATTGAAGGGATCTATGTTATTTTGCAGTAAGCCCAAAATGAGAAAATAAACAAAAACACACCTATGAGACCAACAATAACATTTAGTTTCCCTAACAAAAAAAAAACCCTAACTTTTTTTTTAAAGAATAAAAACAAGAGGTTGGGAGCACATTGTTAGTCACACAATCTTAGTAACAATGGTAAGTGTGGCCCCGGTTCATCAAAGTAGGTAAATTATCCTCAGGGAATTGGTACATTCTTCAAAATCTCCTATTTTCTTTTTTTTTTTCAAGAAAATGCAAGTAATTGTGGTGTTTACTATTGCAAAATTAGTATAATTCAGTTCAGAATTTGAACCCTGCAATAGGGCACTCCAGCTGTAGTTAGAGAAGCTTATATTTATCAGTCAGGTTTGCAGCAAAACCCACAAGCAGTTGTACTGGAATAGCAGGTTGGTCTGTGTTTATGGCATGGTCAGAAGAGGAAAGCCAGCTCTCAAGAAGCACTCCTTCAGCAAGTCCCAAAGATCTGGCAGTAGGAGTGCAGTTTCTGTTTTTCTAAGAGTAAAAAGAGTAATTTGTCTGAAGCACCTCCTCCCTCATCAGTGCCATGTAGGCTGTAAGAATTTTACAAGAGAAGCTAATTTTAAAAAGTTTCCCTTTAGATTGAAGAGATTAAAATCTAAAGCTTTGGGAAGAGGGGTGTGTTTAAATGAGAAACTGATAATAAGTCAGGTGTATTGCTGATGAAGTAACGTATTTAGACTGAATGTACATCAAGTTTTCTTAGATTTTTGGAAGCAGGCAGCAATGCACAATTAATCCTGCTTAGAAATCCCTTTGGGACTATTCCAGATAGTTCTGTGCTTTAGAAGCTCTGTTGCTTTCCTTTCTCAAGATCACTTTGGAATTCCTTTTACTGCTCTTCCCTTCCACTCATACAGGTTTATAATATATACCCGAAAACCTTTGTTGCAGCCAGGGAAGTCCTGGTTAATGCACTCAGGCAATTCTTACCTTGGCTATATGGCCTGGTATATCGAATAGTGGTTTCTATTGTTCTTGGATTGCAGGAGAGACTTTCTTTGACCCTAAATCCCTTCCCCACAGTGGAACAGGTTAGCACCTTTCTTCTGATGAACTTTATCAACCTATTAGCTTGCAATTTTAATATATTGTATATACAATAGCAGTTCAGGGAAGGGATTAAAATATTAACTAATAAAGCAGACAATTTCACTGGTGTATATTTATATTGCTTCCCAAGCTGAGGAAAGGTTTTACTCTTCCTAGTACTGTCTCCCAGTGGAAATCCTTGCTATTGTAGTTGATTGCCACTCCAGTATCCTCCTGTTTCTGGGAATCTGTCTATAGTGTTAAAAGAATTACAGTAAAACCATTAGGGCCCAATTTAAAGAATTTTTTTTCTCTTTTATGCCTATCTTTAGATTCTCAGGAAAAAAATAAGTGATTTTGTGGAGCTGGTTTCATGAAGTTTTGTCTTTTTTGATGTGAGCATGCTGCATTCCAGAAGTAGACAGTCATGAATTACATTTAACTCGTTACAGGAGCAGCAGGTTTGCTTCTTGGACCATGCAGCTTTCTTAGCTTTGTTTTATTTATTTATTTATTTATTTACACATTTTAAAGCAGCTTTAGTTAGGACAGTATACTCTCTATAATGTTCTTGTTTAGAAAGTGTCTTGCTTGACCTCATGACATGGAAGGAACTAGGCTTACAGTTCTGCTGGCAAGTTTGTCCAGCTGCATGAAAATCAAGCCATTTCACCAGGATGTTGAGACTCCACCTCAAATTCTACCTCTTCCCTGTGTGATTGGAATCTGTGTCACAAGGAGATTGTTCTCACTGCTTTGTCACAAAGGATTCATAAAGGCAAATAATGAAGTCATAAAAGCAAATCTCCCTCAGTTGATGTTGTTTTGTTCTGTGATGTATTTGAATTTTCACTCTGGGAAATAAAAGGACCTTCTGTATATTATTGATGTTCTGTAGAATCTAGTCTTCCTCTCATCCTGTAGTACTGGGTAAAGTTGCTGCATGTTTTGTCATTCCAGAGACTGCATCCTGAGTTACCTCTTAGCCTGGAAGAGCTTGAAAAAGTTTTTGTTACATTGGATGCTGATGGCAATGGCTCACTTACCCCAAAGGAGTTCACCACAGGATTCAGTGAGTTTGGAAAGCATGTCTCCTCTATAGACCTTTATTCATATTCTATACTCTCCACATCAATAAAGAAACATTTTGTCTTAACAGTACACTTAATGATGCACACGGAGCCAGACTATTCCCTAAATATAGCAGATATATCTAACAGATGAAGAAGTGGTCAAATTATGTCTATAGATAGACAAAGGGCTCCAGGGTCTTTCTCTCCTGTGTAAGATGGCAAGCCATAGCACGATATGAGACATATGATGTAACCATTTGAATTACACCTGTTTTAAGCCGTGGAGTAGATCTATGAACAAATTTCGGAAAATTTCCCTTGGGGAAAAAACAATCTTGTGTTTTATTTCATATCAGGTCATAAGACCTGAGAGATAATTAAGATTATCTCTAAGATTAATGTAAGACAATGTTGAAAATGTGTTAATACCACTGTCCTTACAGCTGTGGGAATGCTTTCTACAACAAATTAATTCTTCAAGTGATGTTACTTTATTTCAAAACAAAACAGGATGAGGCAATTATTATTACTGCATGATGGGAGCTGATAAGTTCTTTGTAACTGCCTGCTCTGCAACAGCACTTTTACTGTCATGTTCTCTGTGTTTGTGAAAGGGTTGTTTTCTCCCCAGCTGTGATGTTCAAGATAAGATTACAATGTTAGTTAGTGAGACTGTGTTTGGTTGTTTAGGCAGAATCAATTTTGTACTTAAATTTTCGCTCTGCTGAGTATAAGCATCAGATTTAAGCACTTTCTCTAGAAAATGAAATCTCTTCTGTGTGTGAATTGTAACATTAAATCTCCATTTAAATACTATGTATTGGCCCAGCAAATAGGACCTTCATTTTTGTTTACAAATCATTAATCATTTGAAATTTTAATTCTCTCATGTCCCACCTCCCCCATTTTAGAGCTAGATCAAGTATCTTAATAAAGAGTATGCTTTACTCTGCAAATTACTATTATTTTAAAAAGAACTAATGTGTTACTACTTTGCTTTAAGTAACTTATACATATTTCTTAGTTAAATTAAGATTATTTTCATAAGTAGTCCCTGCAAAACCAAAATTTTCTGTTAAGGGAGGCTGTAAGTGGCTGCCACCTCCAGCAGCTCCAGAGCCTGGAGATTCCTCCTGCCCAGCTGCTGGACCCCAGTCCAGAGACCCAGATGGATGTGGCAGCTGCTTTCCTGTTTGCAAGTTCAACTGGTAGTGAAGTTAAACGTGTATCCCAGAGACACCCATACATGCGTGCACACAGACACACAAAGGACATGGACACAGCAGGCTACACAGATTGCCACAGACAAGGCACTGCCTTCAACAGCACCTATGTATAGGATTTACGTAAAACATAAGGACAGACAGTGTAAAGCATGCTACATTTTAACCTGCTGCACAGGACTGACAGGCATTTTCTAGGGATCCAGGCTAGGTAGTCATACATTTGGCTAGGTGATGATGTTGGCATCCCTAGTAGAAGCAGAAGCTGTATTAGATAAAGGCTGCTTTGGAAAACTAGAGAATGCGGGAAGCAGGGTAGTGTCTGGCTAAAACTTCTACTGCACCAATTCGTATGGGAGAATCTCATCCATATTTGTAAATGGTGGCAAATCTGAAATTTACTGTAACCTCTCTTTGCAACATATTCTGTTGTCTCTGTTAACATGCTCTGCTGGGTGCTATGAGAAAAAATGAAAGATAGAGTTGATAAAACCATAAACCCACACCACTATTTCTGTTTCCTTGGGTCTATGGTAACTTCTATACTAGAATTTAGAATATAACCAAAGATCCTCTGCAGAAAATCCCTTTTGCCTAGATACCTTAAAAATTCTGACTTGCAGATGTTCAAATAAAATAGCTGGCACGTTTAGAATTTGACATAATGTATCTGGTCTTCCCCAGCTGAGCACAAGTACATTGATTATTCATGTGGCAATTTCACTTCTGTATCCTCACTGTACAACTACTGTACTTCTTTTTTCCTTTCTTTTTATGGATGTAGCTAAAAAGCCTGTAGCTGTTTGTTTTAGTATTCTTTGCAGGTCCCAGTATTTTTGGCTCTCTTGTCTATATATATATATACACACCCTTTTTATCTCCAATTCGAAGATAGTTTCAAGCTTCACCTGTTTGTTAATTTACTTGAACCCTTCAGACCAGTTGTCTTCAGTAATATCTATTCTTGCTTAGCCTCATGTTTCATTTAAACTGAATCAACTCATTTGTCAATCAGTGGTTATTTCTTATAATCAATTCTTCTGTAGTGTTCTCAACACTTAATAGAGGAAATACAAGGTAACATCATGTGTTGTTGGCTAGTGAAAAATTGTTGAGAAAATCTCATGAGTTTCATGAAATGACTCATGACTATGATGTGGTGTCAATAGCCACGAATATCTGAATCACAGAATGGTTGAGGTTGGAAGGGACCTCTGGAGGTTATCTGGTCCAACCCCCCTGCTCAAGCAGGGCCACCTCAGGCCAGTTGCCTAGGGCTATGTCCAGACGGCTTTTGAATATCTCCAAGGAGGGAGGCTCCACAACCTCCTTGAGCAACCTGTGCCGGTGCTTGGTTACCCACTCAGTAGAAAAGTATTTCCTCATATTCAGAAGGAACCTCCGGTTTTTCGGTTTGTGCCTATTGCCTCTTGTCCTGTCAACAGGCACTACTGAAAAAAGCCCAGCCCCATCCTCTTTCCACTCTCCCTTCACGTATTTGTATACGTTGATTATATCCCTGAGCCTTCTCTTCTCTGGACTAAACATTCCTAGCCCTCTCAGCCTTTCCTCACATGAGAGGTGCTCCAGTCCCTTAAATCATCTTTGTGGCCCTTTCATGGACTCTCTCCAGTATGTCCATGTCGCTCTTGTGCTGAGGAGCCCCAAATTGGACTCCAGGTCTGGTCTCCCCAGTGCTGAATAAATGGGAAGGATCATTTTCTGCAACCCGGTGGCAATACTCTGTCTAATGCAGCCGAGGATACCGCTAGCCTTCTTTGCAGCAAGGGCACATTGCTGGGTCCTGTTCCTGGTGTCTACCAGGATTCCCAGGTCCTTTTCTGCCAAACTGCTTTCCAGCTGGGTAGCCCCCAGCATATATTGGTGCATGGGGTTGTTCATCCCCAGGTGCAGGACTTTGCACTTACCCTTGTTGAACTTCATGAGATTCCTGTCAACCCATTTCTCCAGACTGTCAAGGTCCCTCTGGATGGCTGCACAACCCTCTGGTGTATCAGCCACTCCTCCCAGTTTGGTGTCATCTGCAAACTTGCTGAGGGTGCACTCTGCCTCATCATCCAGGTCATTAATGAAGATGTTAAACTGGACTGGACCCAGTATTGATCCCTGGGGTACATGCTGGTCACTGACGTCTAACTAGACTTTGCACCACTGATCACCACTCTCTGGGCCTGGCTATTCAGCCACTTTTCAGTCCACCTCATCGAATGCTCATCCAGCCTGTACATCAACAGCTTCTCTATAAGGATCTTGTTGGAGGCCTTACTGAAGTCCAGGTAGACAATATCTACCACTCTCCCCTCATCTACCAGGCCTGTCACTTCATCATAGAAGTTTGTCGAGTTGGTCAAGCGTGACTTCCCCTTGGTGAATCCATGCTGACTACTCCTGATGATTTTGTCATCCTTAATGTGTCTGGAAATGGTTTGCAGGATTAGGTGCTCCATCACCTTCCCAGGGATCAAGGTTAGGCTGACTAGCCTGTGGTTCCCTGGGTCCTCTTTCTTGGCCTTCTTGAAGATCGGGATGACATTTGCTTTCCTCCAGCCTTCTGGCACTTCTCCCAGTCACTATGATTGATCTAAGATTATCAGGAGTGGCCTCACAGTGACATCTGCCACCTCCCTCAGCACTCCTGGGTCCATCCCATCAGGGCCCACAGACTTATATATGTCCAGTTTGCTTAAATATTCCCTGACCTGATAGATCGTCTTCCACCAAGTGTACATCTTCCTTGCTTCAACCTTTCTTTCTGATCTCTGGGACCTGGGATTCCTAAAGGCCAGTCTTGCTAGTAAAGACAGGCAAAGGCGGCATTTAGTACTTCCTCCTTTTCCATGTCCTGTGTAACCAAGTCCCTCCTCTCGTTGAGGGACACATCTTCCCTAGTCTTCCTTTTGTCTCCTATGTACTTATAGAAGCCCTTCTTTTTTTTTTTTTTTTTTTACATTCCTGTCCAGCTGCAATTCCATTTGGTCTTTAGCTTTCCTAATTTCACCCTTGCATGCCTAGACAATGTTTCTGTATTCCTCCCAGGGTACCCAGCCTTGCTTCCACCCTCTGTTTGCTTTCTTTTCGTGGTTGAGTTTGGCCAGGAGCTCCTTGTTCATCCATACAGACATCCTGGCATTTTTGTCTGGCTTCTTATTCATTGGGATGGCGCTTGCGCTTGGACGAGGTGATCCTTGAATATTAACCAGCTTTCTTGGGCCCCTCTTCCCTCTAGGGCCTTATCCCTGTCTTCCGAGCAGGTATTTAAAGAGGCCAGAGTCTGCTCTCTTGAAGTCCAGGGTTATGAGCTTGCTTTTCACCCTCCTCCCTGCCCTCTGGATCCCGAATTCCACCATCTCATGGTCACTGCAGCCAAGGCTTTCTTTTGACTTTCACATCCCCAGCGGGACCCTCCTTGTTGGTGGGTATGAGGTCCAGCAGAGCACCTCTCCTCATTGGCTCCTCTGTCACTTGGAGGAGGAAGTCATCATTGATGTACTCCAGGAACCTCCTGGTTTGCTTATGTCCTGTTCCATTGTCCCTCCAACAGGTATCGGGGTCATTGAAGTCCACCATGAGGACCAGGGCCTGCAAACATCAGGCTGTTCCCATCTGTCTGTAGAACGCCTCGTCCACTTGTTCTTCCTGGTCGGGTGGCCTATAGCAGACACCCACTGTACTGTCCTTTTTGCCTGTCCTCTCTTTAATCCTAATGCATAAGCTCTCCATCAGCTCCTCTTCTATCCCCACACAGAGCTCCATGCATTCCAGCTGCTCTCTCACATAAAGGGCAACTCCCCCTCCTTGTCTTCCCTTCCTGTCCTTCCTAAAGAGCCTGTATCCCTCCATTGCAACACTCCAATCATGGGAGCCATCCCACCACGTCTCCATGATCCAATCTTTCTGTTATTAATGGAAATACCCAAATAGATGGAAGAAACTCCTGTAGGGGTCAAGTTTAGAGGAATTAAAATGCATGTGAGTCAAATGGAGTGAAAAAAGTGTTAATAAAATGTAGCTTTCTATATGCAGTTTATACAGGAATTTGAGGTGTGCCTTTGATCATGCACTAAAAAGAATGTTAAAATAGGAGGTATGTTTTATCAGTAGCAATGCTGTGGTTATTTTCAATTCCTAACTTCTGTTTAAGAATATCAAGAAATAAGGCAACAACATTTATAAAGTGCTTGTTGCTGCAATTTATGTCTTTTGTTTATGGAGGTCTGAATTTTTTCAGTATGTTTGTGAATTTTGAGGTGAGTGATTTACTGAAGGCTAGATGTTAAACTGGGGACAAACTCAGGCATAGAACTCAGGGGTCCTCTTGCCATAACTCATCCTTTTGTTGTTTCATTATACTCCCTTTTCTTGTAAACAAGTGTAGGTGTTACCCTCACAAATTATATTTGCTATAAAATTTGATATTTAGTACGTTGCTCTTCAGTGACATTGCTTCTTATAGTAAGTTCTGAAAATGCTAACGTGTGTAATTTCTAATTCTTAGGCCAGTTTCTTTTGGGGCAGATTGCTTTGAATAATGAGATGATGAAGCAATCAGAAGGTGAAACAGCCTGCCCACTTAAATGTGAAGAGACCGTGAGTGATGATGAGGATGAGGAACTCCAGTTCTCAAATCTGATGGATCGGCTTGGAGCTAAAAAGGTTTTGGATGAGTGAGTCTTCACAGCAATAGTAATAGATTGTATGATCTTCTGTGATTCAGCTCTGGGTTTGATTTTAATGGAATCCATGATGAATGACAAGAACCAAGGCTTCTCAGTAACACAGTAATTCTTTAAAAATTAATTTTCTTGGTTGTCAGAGATGGTAAAATGCCATTCAGCCAAAATTTCCAAGAGGATAGCTATTGTGCTCCAGGCATATGAAAAGTGTATTTGTGCCATATGAAAGCTATACCATTAACCCACTGATGTACCATGAGTTTTGAACATAGATAATTACTAGCATGTAATCCACATGATGCCACTGATTTTCAATCAAACATTGCATGATGACTGCTTTTTTGGCAAGAGCTGTGTTTAAAGTGCACCAGTTAACCATAAGAAAGAATGTTTTCTCCCCTTTTTCTGCTTTTTCTCCCCTCTATGCATAATTGCATGTTGTGATGGCTCTGATAACACTACCTCTTCCAGGACCAGGATGATTCACCCTGAAACACAGAACGCAAAAACTGCTCTAAAATCTTCTTGTGTGTTGACCTGACATTCATTGGTCAATCACAGTGAATGTTCTAGACCAAAAAAAACATGGGGCAAAAATGGGAGAGAATCTGGACAGATAGTAGGAATGTTTAAGAAATGCATCAGTGATCCTTACCATGAAATAAAAGTGCTCATCAGTGCTTCTCTTCACCTGACTGCCTGTTACAGGAAAGAGTTGATTGTCAGTCATGCTGAAAGGCTTTCATTATGAAGAGATTTTTATCACCCACTTTTTCTATCCTTATCCTCATTTTGTCCTTTAAATATAGCACTCTTTGCTGGCTAGGTTCAGGCTTACAATACACATGGAAGAGAATGAGTCAGGAAGAAACAAACAAAAGAAGTTGTTCAGGAGAATTTTGGCAAAGTATTAAAAAACCCATTGTCATTCACAGTAGAACATCTTTTTTCCCATATCTGCTGAACAGATTTGGAAACAAAACATTATCTTGGTAAATCTTTAAATCAAAGTTTTCAAGATGTCATGTTATGATTTTTGTAGCAGTCCCATTGTGGAATTAAAATGGGTTGAAAATTAAAGAAGACAGTAAAAATGCAATTTCTTGGCTTGTCTAAGTAACTTAGGAGACTGAGTCTCATTCATTTCTCATTAGGAAGTGTTTTTGATTAGCTTTCCCACTGCCCCCTCCCCACTAGATTTGTGGGAATTTCTTTACTTCTAATAGAAGTGACGGGATGGTACAGTGTAGCTCATCTGTCTCCTTTCTTATCCATTCCTGTTTAGATGAAGTGTCTTTGCAAGGCACCCACTAAGCAAGCAGTTCCTGTGATCCTCTGCAGTCATGCATGGCCAAACTTCATGACGCGCTTTTTGAATAATCTTCCACCCACCTCATGCTTTTCAAATCTGGCACTGCTTAAGCAGCCCTTGTTTTTAATAGGCCTTGTGTTCTGACTAGTGATGCCCTGAAGCCTCCATCCACTAGGATGCTGTGAACTGCAGCCTGAGAAGTGTTCTCTCTTAATGAATCCTTTATGATCTCTTCTTTCAGTGAGAGTGATGTGAAGCAACTTTGGTTGCAGCTGAGAAAAGACGAACCTCATTTACTTTCCAATTTTGAAGAGTTTCTGGTCAGAATTTTTTCCCAGCTCCAAGAAGCAGATAATGAAAAGAACGAGTTGGAATGCGCTCTAAAAAAGTTAGTACTTCTCTTTGTTGGACTGTTTGTGTAATTTTACAACTATCTTACCTACTATTTGAATCTTTGAAATAAACGAGGTATCTCACTGAAGAACTAGGGACTATAATCACAAGAGTTCCCATAACGTAAAATATTATTAGTCTTGGAGAGTACCAGTAAAATTATTTATAATGCAGAACTGGCTGAAATTAGCTTTTCTCTTCCAGTTAACAGATTTTGTTGACTGAGATTCTTTTGCAGATATCTATTATTGCATTGCTGTTTTAAGACAATATTAAACAATTCACTAGTTAATCAGTTTGATTCCAGAGGACAGTCAGATTTAGCAGTAAATCTGGTAAATTGTCTGTGTGCTTTGCAAACATTGCGTGCAGAAAAGCTATAAATCTGGATTAACTGGCCAGAGTAATGAGAGGTTTAAGATGTTAAAGCAGCACAAAGCACTGATACCAGTGAAAATATAAGTTAGCAAATATATATATAAAACAAACATATGAAATATAGTAAACAATATATATTGGTTTTATATATAAAAACAGATGTGTGTATATACAAACAAATATATAAAATGCATATATAAAAACAAATATATAAGAAATAAAAATTAATAGGTCATCCTTTAATATGTAGCTATCTAGAGGGAAAAAAATTGTGATGCTAAATCTAAATAGAATGCAAAATCATGCCTATAGTTCAAGTTCCCCTGTATTTTTATTGCAAAGTGTCACTTCTGAATTTCAGATTCTTACAGATTGAGTAATAAAGGCAAATATATTGTTGAACGTTTACTTCATTTGCTCAGCAGTCTCCTGGCTATTCTGAGAATGTGACAAGGCTTCTGAAGAAAGAAAAAAACTAAAAACATATGGTGATTAAAGACAATTGATATTGATAGCAGCGTTTTCATCTAAGTCTACAAGTGTGGTTTTAGCTTTCAGACAGCTAGTCAGCTGGAAACAGCATAGAGATAGTTGTGCTGTCTGGTTTAGACTAGACATTATTAACAACCATGTGTGGTGAGGTATTTGTTTTGTGGTGGTTTGGTTTTTTTTGGTCAGATTCTTGTCAGAGTGTTTTGTGAACTGGATGAATACATTTGTCTGTTTAACAGCTGTGGTCAGCACAGAGGTGCATGGAGAATACATTAGCATTGCCTAACTTTTCTGGCTGACATGAAATCTCTACCTTAAAAATGCACAGGTTTTAGCTAATTTCTTCTTTCTATTGCTCCTGATAACACCTCTAATTTCAGTACATAGGTTGTTGTTTTGTTTGTAATCAATAGCTGGAAGAAGTTAGAACTATCAGAGGAGTAATATTGTCTTTGGTAACAGTGGGGATGAACAACCTCTTTTATTTTAAACTATGTACAAATAACAGCAAAGATCAAGATAAGACCATATAGAGGGGGAAAAATTATTTTTTTATACCCACATGCTTCTTAGCACTAAGATGCATGTGTCCACATAGACTGGCCAGGATGTACTGTGGGGTCACAGAAGATAACGGATGCTGCTTATTGAGGTCATATCATGACTCCTGGGTTCTTCTTGATTGCTGACAATAGTACCCTTTGGAAGTTGAGAATGAATGTGATCTTTCATCTTTTCTTCCTGACTCACCTCTGTGAGTCATTAGGCAATAATGCAGTCTACTGTCAGCCTTTTGTCTCCTTTCCTGGATGTAGGCTATGCTTTTGTCTTAAGTTGTTCCTTTTTTTCTAACCTGGATGCCCTGAGAAGCTTCATGTGCATGTGCTAGGATCTTTATGCCCTGCCAATCTATGCTGTTGACCCATGCCATTCTTCTATACCTGCTTTTTGTCCTTTCTTCTGGAGCTTTCACACATGCATATTTTCATTCATAAACCTGAATCCTGTGGTCTAAGGGACTCAGGGGTTTCCTCCTGTCCAAGTTCAATAGATATAGTATGCTGCTGCTGCTCCCATTTGTAGGTCCAGCTAGTAGTGAGGCTGAATGTATATTCTCAATACACACACATGCAGATATACCACATATGGGGACTGTGCAGACTAATACTGATTAGAAAGTAGTGCCTCTACTGGCACCCGCCTAAACACAAGCAGCGTTTACCTAAGCATGAAGGATGATAGCCTGTTCTGTTTCTCCCATCCAGTTTATGAGGAGTGAATTTTATTAGTGAAAACATACACACATGCAGCCCCCACACACACTTACTTTATTCAGAAACAAACTTGCATTCACAGATCCTTTGAATATTACCCTGGACTTTAGCCTACCTAATGTCCCTGCCTGCACCCTGGGCCCCTTACCCATTCCTTGACTCAGACCGTGGGTCTTTCCAGATGTGGGTCTCCTTCTACTTGCTGGCTGGTTCAGCTGGATTGAAGTTTGCTACCAGAATGTGTTCATTTGCTCACTCATTAACAATCACAGATCCTTCAGATATTAGCATGAGGCTTTTTAAGTCCATCTAATGGCTATACCGAGACCATAGTCCCTTTACCTCCAGTCATCAGCTCAGACCTTGAGTTTTTCCAGATGGAGATCTCCTCCTCCTTGCTGGCTAGTTCAGCTTGAAGTGTGCTAATGAATAACACCCACACAGAATAGACATTGAGTCCACACAGTTAGAAATAGGATGTAATAAGAAGATAGCATAGTCTGCGAGAATCAGACACAGGGATAGACCAGACAAATATACTAACCATCAGATTGCTTACACTTGACTAAGCCACTTATCCCCTCTTCACATCTACCTTGGTCCCTTTCTCTAACCTTGTCTCCTCATAAATAAAGAACTTGTCCCTAAATACCTTCTTTGACATTGGTCCCAGTTTTTCTACATTTGTATGCAAATTTCATATTTCTGATATTGGTACCTAAGTAATCTTGCCCTTATATGGTGCTACTGATGTGGTTATCTAGATGCTGTTTTCCTTGGCAAGATTCTTCTCTCCAAAAGGTGCCAAATACTCTCCTTCAGATAGCTATGCGGTTGGCTGTTTACTGCATAACTCCTCCTAGAACACCTGTGAAAGCCATCCATCAGGGTGCTGTCTGTAGCTGTTGTCAGTTTCTCACTGTTATTTGTTATGTCCAGCAGTTTCTCATATAATGTCCAGTAGTTTCTCATGCCCTGTTCAGTTAGTTAATCCTTAGACTAAGGCCTAGTCATCTCAACACTTTAACACTTAATCTATACTAGCGTTAACATGTCTCTTACAAACCTGTTTTCGTAGAGCTCAATAAATTTATAAATAAATTTATAATACATATGTATAACATGCAGCATGATCCTGTATAGAGGAAATTTGTGATACTTTGTTGGGTGTTACTCAAAGGCATAGGGTTGATCTCCCTGTGAATTTTTATTTATATATATATATTAACTTATATATGTGCGTGTGTGTGTGTGTGTATATGAGGGCATATATTTAAAGAAACCTTCTATAAGCCAAGTAAGTTTTTTTCCTAGAAAAAAATGTTGGTAACTTTTAAATAGTCTTGAAGAAGAGATTTGCATATTGTACTGTCTACTGCTGACCCTCTTACAGATACTAGTATTTTTGTCCTCTGAACATGTAAATTATGGCACTGTGCACACTTAGTGTGTGACTGTTTTTATTACTTAGTAACAGGCCGTAATTTTTTCTAGTATTAAAGGTCTGCTTTAGTATTTCAGGTAAACTGACGCACTCTGAATTTGTCAAATATTAACTTCACCTCAGTTCTGTATTTTATTTTAAGCATTTAAGACAATTGTTGGAGAAGAAACTTTAAACCTACCTCTGTGATCTCTTAGTTAAAGTGTTTCAACAAAGATTCCTAACAAGATACCAAATACATTCCTGATACACTCACAGAAGAGGTCTGTTAGTGCATTAGACATATTCTGTGCCAATATAACCATGGGCATGTTTCTCCTTTTAGGTGATCTGTAATTCTGGTTCAGTAGAACAACAGTGAAAATACTGCTGATGAGTTTTTACATAGAATTGAATACACTTTAAGGAAAACAAAGCAAACGGCCACATTTTTATCCCAGAACTGGTGGTGTTCTCCTCACTGGTATTTATCATCATAAAGGAATTGATGATGAACTGTTGCTTATATTTGTAGATTTCAAGGCAAAATGAAAATATGAGGTTTAAACCCTCTCCTTTTAAAAATACTCATTTGCTTCTTTATTTCTTTTCATTTAAACAAAAGTGAGAGACTTTTACTACAGTAATGTATCAAACCAAATACTGTACATATATCTGGTCTGGTGCTGGAATCAGCCACAGCTAAGCTGTGCACTGAAAGTATTGACTAGTAGCTCCATACATTGATCCATTTTGCTTTTGGCATCTACACAGTGGATACAATTTTTGTTTGCCAGGGTAAGTTAGTTGTCCTTGATTTTCTGATATTTGTATTTAATTTTAAGTGCTAATTTAAAATTAGATGGCTTCTTAAATTTAGCAGTAGGGTCATGTATTGAGTGGGCAAAAAAGTGGTAGATGAACTTCATCGTAGATAAATGTTAGGAAGATAAAATAATTTAAGTCATGCTTACGTGATGCTGAGCTTTGAATGCGCAGTTACAACTCTGGAGAAGGCCCTTGGGGTCATTGCAGAGAGCTTCCTGAAATCATCAGTTCAGGGTGCAATGGCAGCCAAAAAACCCCAGTAAAATGCTATGCATGATCAGGAAAGGTACTGAGAACATGACAAAGCATGCTTTTGCCACTACACAGAATCTTGGTGCACCCCCATCTTGAGTACTGAGTGAAGTTCTGGGCTCTGCAACACAAGAAGAATGCAGTGGAATGAAGAAAGGTACAAAGAATGGCAAGTCAGTGGTTAAAGGAATGGAACAGCTATTCTGAGAGAGCTGTTTTTAAAAGGTAGGATCTCTTGAGTGAGGAGGCAAAGGCTGGAGTGGGATATGATAGACCTTTACAAAACCATGAGACCACTGACTAGGAGGAACTGTTATTCTTCAGATCCCTAGCAGTAGAACCAAGGGGCATTTAATAAGACTAATAGCAAGTAAGCTTAAAACAGGTGAGAAAGAGACCTTTTTCTTCTAATACCCAATAAAATCTTCAACTGCCGTTAGCTCTGTCTGCTGCTGTGCTTTGCATTTGAAAGACAAACCTAGTAAAAAGGTGGGCTCTGTTTCAAACAACAGAGTTCTAAACAGAGAAGATAAAATAAGGGTAAACAGGAAGGGAAGGATGAACTGCCTTCTCATTGGGCTTAGCGTGGGACAGTGTCAGAGTCCGCCTTTGGTGGAAGAAGAGGAGAATCAGCGTCTCAGAAGATTAGTGCATGAAGTGCACAAATCACTGTGTTTTTTTAAAGAGAAAGAAGAACCATTACAACAAACTTCATGAACAGCAATTGTGAAACCCAAATAATTCACATAGCAGCTACATGAACGGGCAGAAATTAAGCCCTTGTGAGTGTGTTGATCCTGAACTCATGATCTGAACCTAGTGAACTCATGTTACATTCCATTTTGGTTAGTGTGCTCAACCACAGCACCATCTCCCTTTCGTCTCCTCTCTGCTTATTCCACAGCATTACTGAAAGAGAAAGATTACATTATTGAAAATTGCTGAAATTATACGATTATGCATTGAGTAAAACTGGATGGTATGATCCCAGGGAACGGAGATTTTAATCGAAATGTTTTGGATTTTTCACATAACAATGATATACCCTTATGGCTTTATTTTCCCCTGACTGCATGTGGGGAATATTTGCCAGCTAATGTATTGTATTATTTTTTCTGCTGCTTGTTACTTATAATTATATACTTATAATTATATACTTATAATTGTGTTACACTTTTGATTATAACAGGATATTATTTTATCTTTCTGTTTAATTCGATCAGAGTTAAGAATGGTAAGCCATGAAAGGAATGCTTGAGGAGTATTCGGCCTGCAGAAATGGCATTTGCTTATGTGCCAGACCAACTAGAAAGATTCCTACATCCAGAAGTACCTCCTGGATGTAGTCTTGATGGTGTTGCCATATCCTTTGCTTCCAAACACATAAGAGGAAAGAAATATCTAAATCAGCAGCTTAATAATATGGCACTAAAGTTACTCTCCCTGTGACACAGAAGCAAAGAAAATCTTTATGATTCCCATGGAAACACTGACTGCCGTGCAATGTGTTCTGCCTGTGCAAAGTTACAGGGTTTTTTAGTACGCAGTCAATCTAGCCCTGATCAAAGTGACATTATACTGCATGAATACAGTATTTTTAAATATCATCTTAGCATCTCTGCCATACCTTTCTAAATAATTGTTAATTCTTTATGAATTTGTGCAATTTTATTCCATTGATGAGTGCTAATTTCTTATGAAGCATTTTCTTAGTTTTAAGAAAATAAAATTTGAGATCAGAATATGACCTGACTTCACACTATAAGGGGAGTAAGGCAGCAAAAAGGGCTTCTGGATTTTCTGGCACTCTATTTGAAGCATTGCAGTCCCATGAAGAGGCCCTTGTCTGGGCTGCTTTTCTCACCTAATCAGAGTTTACAAAAATCTAAGTGACAGGAATCATTTTCCTCAAATTGATGTAGCTTGATATTTGTTTATTGCTGCTGTAAATCCTGAGAAAATGCCTCCCCCCCTCATTTTTTACCTGTGACTGAAAATGCAAGCTGGCAATGTCAAGTGTCCTGATGTTTGCAAGGGGTAAAGACGTACAGGTTTCTGGTGTTTCTCACTCCTCTTAGCTTAGGTAAATTTTTTGAAGTTTCTTTCCGATTTGCTTGGCTTTAACTTGAGAAGAGAATCAGGCCTTTAGTAAGTGAAAACATTTAGTAAGTGAAAACAGAATATGTAGAGCATTAGGTTAAAAAAAATAGCAGATAGCCAGATTACAAAATTAATGGCTTTTTTCCTACTGTATATTCCTTGTCTTGCTCTTATTGATATGAATGCCCTAGGAGATGATGTACTTTATTTGTAAAACAGATGCATTCTGCAGATTGCTCAAGGAACAGCTCTAACAAGAGGAATGTAGGGGAATATACAGCAGTGTCATATAAAGGCCCTATTAATCTCTACTAAAAATCTTTCTAGGATGTCCCCTGAGTTTGATGCAAAGTGATTTTTGCTTTTCAGTTTCTGGGTTAATGACAGTAGAACAGAATAGAAGCAGAACAAAGCAGATGTCTTGTTGCCTTTCAACAGTTAAATTTTTCCTGCCCAGACTAAAGCATCTGCTCAATGTAATCCTTCATGTATCAAACTGCAATGATATTAATCGCAATATTCTACTGGAAAAAGTGAGCTTTGTAAATCGTTTTTTCCTACAGTCAGATACACTTGTGCACAGCATATTTACTTCTGTTCCTCAGCTGGGCTTTTCAAATTTGTTTCAGCAAAGCTGTTAGAGAGGCAGTAAGGCAGCTTTCAAGGACTTTCAAGAAGTCCGTTCTAGCTAAATCATCTTAGACATGATAGATGTACCTCATTCAATGCTCTTGAATGATAAACAATGCAGTTCCAGAGTAAAAAAATGAAGTTGCTGTGAAAATAGTTTTAACTGGCAAACTTAGGCTCTGGTATTCTTAGTATTGTCACTAGGAAGCTCTGTTCCTTAAACCTAAGATTTAGTAGTCATTAAAACTGCATAATGAACATCTGCTTTATATGGAAACATCAGATGTGTAGCTTTATTAGCCTTTGAGCTGTTGAAGCTTTCCTTCCATGAGAAAAAAATAAAAATTTAATCTGTGACCTTTCCTGCACAAAAATGTCTATTTTCTTAACCCTAGAACATTCTCTGGAGTCTTGTATTAAGGCAGAAATGTGGGGCTTAGCTCGTAATGTGAGCCATGACTTGAAGGAATGTTGCAAAGACCCACTCAGTATACTTTTATCTCTTATTAGGAAAATTGCTGCTTATGATGAAGAAATTCAACACCTCTATGAAGAAATGGAACAGCAAATCCAAAAGGAGAAAGAGCAGTTTCTCTTGAAAGTGAGTGTCTCTTTGTTATTGCGGGCATGGATTCGGCTCCCACTTCCAGTGGTTTTATACTCATTCTGGGTGTGAAATGAAAGCCCACAAAATGTGTTTCACAACAGAATAAGAAAAAACATAATTTGCCTCAGTGCTGCTTTTGTACTGCTCCAGGCTCTGCAGCTTCAAACTAAGTGACTTGTTGGATGAGAGGAGCATCAATGTCCTGTGCTCAGTGGTTGGCATAGAGTAGCAGCTGGCATTCTTTTGAAAGTCAGCTGAACTACAGCCTCGTTGTATTATCGATGCTACTATAGGTCCAACTTCTGGTCACAATTAGGAAAAATGCTCTTTGAGGTTCAGAGCAACACTAATCTTGTTAAGTTCTGCAGTCTCTGCTTTTGAGGAGGGGATAAGTTCTCACTGAAGTGCAACAATAGAGATAAATCAAGTGATGGTAATTTATGAAACCACCACAGCTATTTGCAAAATAAACATAGGTCAGATTCTTTTGTCACTGCCATGGTGTTTCCAGAACACCTGACAATGAATTCCCTTTTCTTACAAAGTCTCCTTTAAATCTCCTCTGCTGCTTTTATAGTCAGTTCTTCGGATTTGTCTGTCCTGTTTTTTTTCTCCTAAAACAAGGAAACTAACAAGAACTCCAAGTATGCTCTAGGAAAGAGTAATCGTAGAATCATTTAGGTGGGAAGGCACCTATGTTGCTAACTTTCAAACTAGATCAGGTTGCTCAGGGACTTTTCCAATTGAGTTTGGAGTATGCAAATGATGGAGATTCCACAGCTTCTCTGGGTGGCCTGGGACAACCAATCATGAGCTACAGGCTCATGCCTTTTTGTTGTCTTGAAAGCAGTCGTATAAAGGAAACCAATATATGGTTTCAAACAACATACGGTACACAAAATGTTGCCAAAACTAGTGGATATTCATCAATTATTGCCTCTGTTCTCAATCACATATGATATCTAAAAAATCCTTTTGTGATCCAAATATATGAAGTATTTTTTGTTTCCTGACATAAAGCGTGTTAGAGCAAAAAGAGCCTTAATCAGCTGTCTAAGGAATCCATCTTTTCACTTACCTCACAGGGTAGTGAACCTGATTAATAAATTTAAAGTTTTTTCCATTCCAAGCTGAGAGCAGTTTTTAGTGGTGGATGAGATGAACCCTTTATATAAAGTTTATATATCAGCTGAAGGATAAAAAGTATTTGCAACTTTGCCTGACAGCAGTTGTTGTGGAAGAAATGGTTTATATGCTCTTAATAGCCCACAACTGAGGTTGTATTGCAAATCCTAAAACAACAGAGACTTTTCCATAAGCAATGATTGTTGGATCTCCTAATTAGTTGTATATTTGAGGTAAAGCCATTTCTTTCAAGCTTTTTCATTAAAGCTTCCCACTGCAACTATTTACAGCTTAGTCAGCATTCACACTAATGGTTGTCAGGCAGTCAAGAAGTATTGTTTCTCCACATGACTAATTTGGGATTTGGGGAGATCTGACTGTTAAATTCTTTCTCTAATGCAAAGTTTCACAAAGACTTTACAGCCTGGAGAGATGCATTGATACCATATAAAAGGGAAATTATTATGACTTGAATGAAGAGCATTTACATTTAAAGAAATCGGTAAGATGCAAATAAGTACAAATTGTAGCTATTTACAATACTTAATACCCTGCTGACTGAAGGCTGTACAAAAGGGGCAGTTAGTCTGTCTTTTTCTCTTGGATATATGTTCTTCCACATAAGTAGCCAGTTAACATGCATTTGATTACCCCATTGTGTGTACTGCTAAAGGGAAAAAGCATGTAGGAACGACTGCTGTCTTGAGGGAATTTTTATTTTTGTTTAGAGGCATTTTCCTGGGGATCTTAGAGAGTAGAAGCCTATTGTGGAGGAATAGGATAGATTCTCAGCTGATATGAACTGCTGGAACCTGATTTTACTCAGGAGAGGTCTGACAATTTGTCTCAGCTGAGGAGTGTCTGAAGGAGTAATCCCAAATAGGATTGGGAGTTCCCAGTGTTTGCAGGATACTTAGATAGTGGACAGATTGATATAATTGAATGGCAGAGCCTGAAGCCCAGATCGCTTGCTTATACTGATGGAACATCTGTGACAAATTCTTGTTAGTGATGGATTTTAAAGGTAGCAGGTATTGTTTCTTTTACTTCAACCTGACTTGCTGTGCTGTGTGTCAGTAGCCTGTATATCCCATGTCAATCCTGATATCTGGTATGTGAGTTACAGTATGACTCCATAATAATTTAAATTTGTCCAGGTTGTTTCCATCAGTGCATTCTCATCACTTCTCTGTGCCAGTAGTTGTCTGGTTCAGGAAACCAAATGTGCAGAAAGCTATTCGCATTTTTGCTTTTTTTTTTTCTGCTTGTTTAGTTAGCTCTCTGAAACAGCTCGCTGCTGCAACAGATGAGCATGAATGCTAGTGTATAAGAGGATGAGGGTATGTGTAGCTGGAAATGGGAGGATGCATCCTAGCTCTATTGGTTTAGGTTGGTTAAGATCCTAAGGCTCGTGTCTAAGCTAGAAGAGTTCTGCCTCCACTTTGTAGACTTGATGCCTACTCATGTGCAATCAGCACATCCTGTAGCAACTGCAGTCATTGAAGTTGCTGGACTACACCAGTTTACAGAAGCTCAGAGGCTGGATTCATGAGTAATACCATCCCTAAATAGAGTTCTATCAGTAGCTCATTATGTTCACTGTGAAAAGCTTGCCTATTATTTTCATGCCTGATTCCTTATGTCTCCTCCTGCTGATGAAATTGTGCTGTTCTGTTAATATATTTCCTCTTTGAATTTTACAGGACACAGAGAGGTTTCAGTCCTACAGTCAAGAGCTGGAGTGCAAGCTCCTGTCAAAAGAACAAGAGCTGGAACAATTGGTTCAAAAACAGAAAAGGGTATTAACTGATATCCTTCAGAGTTAAAAAATAGATCATTTTTATTTGTTCATATGATTTTATTTAGGTACTATTTTAGGTCCCAAAAATGCAAGTTGGTGTGATGTGGTTCTGCCAAACTGTGACCCTCTGTTGCTTTTGTGTCATGAGTGTAGATACCTGAATGCATTTAAAAGTGGTAGACTTCTATGCATGTGCTTAAGAAAAATGTTACCCTCTATTTCTAAAGCAGTTTTCCTTTTATATGATAAAATGACAAAAAAATGCTCCAGGTATTCTTCCTGGGTACTAGGTTAATTTTATGAAAATGTAGCAGAATTCCACTGCCTTCAATGTGCTAGGAACTGGCTTAATGCCCAGACAGCTCAAGAGCAGAGAACAATGCTTTGGGTCTTATAGTGTACACCTTTGCTCAAAGCTTGTACCAACTACTCATTTACTTGTTTTGGATGATTCAGCACTATGAACTTGAAATGCTTCCTCCTGAACAACCTGCTCCTGATACATCTCTCTGTGATAACGGTTTTATAGCAGTGCATGGTTCTCTTGCATGGTAACAGCTTGTCAAGTTCCCATATTAAAGCCTGATGTGTTTTACTTCTTAAAATGCATGACCTGCTTGGGGAAGCAAAGTATTTCTGCATGTGTGAACTTGCTGTAAAGTGTCTCCAAGGTCAGTGCATGAAAGACTAGCAATAGGGAAAGGGGGTAGCACTGGACTGAAATGGAATGCTGTGAAACCAACTCCCTCTGTAGAATATGAATATAAAATACGTGTAAACTTTCTTTTCCTGGCAGCAGTGCTTGGGAGTGCTAGTCCTGGGAAGCAGGAGAGAAGTAAGAGGAGAAGGGAAGGAAGAGGAAAAAGAACTTTGAGGGCAGTTTCCTAGTTGTGTGTAGTTTTTTAGATCCTCTTCTGAGGAATGAATCCAGGTGCTGCTGAAGCTGATGGGAATTGTAGGATTGTACTTTAGTAAGAGGGGTGGCAAACGTCTAGCTTACTATAATTATGCAAGTTAGCTGATGAGGATATAAGACTGAGTATGAAAGGCCATTACATAATTGAAATCAACTGCATGATGTTAATTACCTTTGTTCAGTACAACTGTGAGTCGGAATAGATGTGGTTTTATGGAGGCTGTTTACCACATTGCAGCACTGTAGTGAAATAATCTATACTTTGAAGATATTTGTGGGGGCACACAAATCAGGTGTTTTTAGCCTGAAGCTAACTGCAAAAGTATAAGAAACTATTTATCATAATTTTGTAATGATTATATTTTAATATTCTCCTTTTTTGTTTTTGTTTGTTTGTCTGTTTGTTTTTAAAGCTGTGCTTAAAACTTAGTTATCAACCAGTAGTTCTGTAAAACCCTTTTCCTGTGGTTCTCTAAAATATGTGTTCTAAACTTGGTATAAAAACCACAGAAGCTATTGAAAGGCTTACGCTCATTTTTAAGCCTGGTCTAATCAAGTAATACAGGCAGCAGTTTTTTCTTATGATTATTGTCTACATTGCCTATTGTCTGCTATTGCCTATCTTGGAGAACATAGAATCATAGAATCATCAGGTTGGAAAAGACCTTTAAGGTCATGAAGTCCAACCGCTAACGTAACACTGCCAAGTCGACCACTAAACCATGTCCCTACGGACCACATCTACATGTCTTTTAAATACCTCCAGGGATGGTGACTCAACCATAAAACAATGTCTGTGTTATTTTTATTAGTATTATTCTTTATTTAATTTTATATTTTCCTTTTCTATTCATTGCGTTGTTTATTATTAATAGTATTACAGTGTTTTCTATTTTATTTGTAATTTCTATTTATCATTTCCCCTATCCCTTATGAATTTGCGTGAGTCTCGACAAGGGTGCTTTTTGAAGGACAGGATCTTCACAGTACCATAAAAATTAAGCTATCCCATTTTATTTTTATTGAAAGGAAGCTGTGCTGGACAAATGGAATTCGCTGCTTCTAATGATGTGATGAGTGAGATAATTTTATTCAAATGATTGATGGCATTTGAAACTTGTCATTCAGCCAGCTGATTGGTACCCATTGTCAATCTTATACACAATATTTGATTTCTTTTTTTCTGGTATAGCAGCCTAACCTGTTTGTTTGAATGCTTAACTCAGTGTAGTTACAGGCAGTGTTTTGTACATATATTTTTCTAATTCCTTAGGAACATCTCTGAGAGTGACTCGCATCTTTCCTCAGATCTGTTTTTATAATACTATATGTAATATTATAACCCCACTCTTCATTCACTTAGATATCAATGTGTGCTAGGTTAGCTTCCACCTGTCTAATGCTTGCTGTATCCAGAGTGCTCTGTCACTTTCGCCACCTCCTCTTGCATGGAAATATACTTTGATAATTAAATCTATTCTTGCAGATGGTAATGGTGGCTTGGTTTAATTACAACTTCCATGCTTGATTATATGAGAGAACCTCTTGGGAGTAATACAAATGCTTTTTTCCAAACTTCATTAATAATTTTTTTTTTTAAATACAATGTAATTATTCCTGTGTTGGAAATTATTATAAAAAATGTGAAAGGGAACTTTTAGACAAGACGAGATCAGTGTTGTTTCTGCTGATTTAGCCAGAGGGAGTCTCCCTTATGAGGGTCTTCTGCCTATTTTCACTGAAATACTGATCTGATTCCATGTTGACTGGCCTTCTGTAGGCCAGGGTTCCTTTGGCTAGACCTTTTTGCTGCCTACCATGATCTTAAATTGTCAGCTTGCTCTACATAGCTTAGATAAAGCACAAGGTATTCTCAATAGTGTTCCTCAAGGGATGTGTGATGGCATGTCTCAGAAGGAGGCACTGGGGATAGAGGATATCCAGCATAACATCTAGGGCACAGAATCTTGTATTAGGGGAAGAAAGTAGGTGTGGACCAGGTAAAATGCAGGAGAGTTACTGGGCTTCTCACATAAAATGATGCATTCTGTGCTGATGACAGTCACTAAAGAGCATGATCTTGGGATTCTGAGTGAGAGATCCATGAGAACACAGATCAGTAGCACTCAAAAATGCAAATCAAATTATAGGATTGTTAAGAAAGGCATAAAGAACAAAATAATCCCCAGCCTTATAACACTGCATAAATGTTTCGTCTTTCACATGCACCTGAAATAAATAGGAAAAAAAAAAAGAGAAAAAATAGAGAAAGGATGCTGAGCTAAGAACAAGAGAGTGCATGGAGAGTGCTTAATGTATATGTCCTTGAGGGACAGCAATAGCTGTCCTCAGCAACAGTTTGTTTATATTGGACAATCCCAGTTCTTTATTAGATTTTAAACTAGTGAGTTTTTCCTCCCATTTTTGTCAAAAAAAAGAGAATATGCACCATCATCTACTGTGTCTCTGCTTGACCTGTGGTAATTGGTTAATTCTCTCTGCTTCCTGGATTTTCTTAGACACGACTGTGGGCCATGAGTCTTTCCCAATCAATTTTCATGTACTTGATGTCCATGGGAGACAATTTGCAACTCCAATAAGCAGTTCGAGCCTATAGGGCCTATGCCATTCTATACCAGCTGAACATCCACCTAATGAGTTATTCCACTGTATTAGGAGTTGTTTAAATGAATGCTTTAAAAGTAGTGTTTGGCATGACTTAAAGGATTGTATAGATATGGTGAAAGGAAGGAGCTCTGTATTGCTGTGAAATAACCCTTTCTCCTCTTCTTGTGTCCTGGGGTTTAAATATTATGAGCATCTGCTATTGAGTATAGTTTCAACATAATTGTTTTTCTCACAAGAGTAAGCACTAGGATTTGTAGCAATTATTTCTAACATCAGTACTTATGATTCTGGGAGCTGATGATGGCTACCATTGCAGTTACATTTCCAGGCCAGTCTCTAAGTTCTCAGATGGCCATAGTATTCTGTAACTGGGATTTCTGCCTGCAATTTGTTGCTTTTAAGCTTTTTGAGAGTTCATCTTTGTGTGATCACTTTTTGCTTCTCCCAAAACCACTCCTCTGGATAAGAACGTCTTGTCTTCTAGTACCTGAAGCATCTAGTCTTCTACTTAGAATAGATAACGTCATTCTGTCAAGGAATGGAAGCAATACTCAGGAACTGAAGTGATCTATCAATGTAAACCAACATTGCTCAGCAGTAATTTGATGCCCAGCTAGTCAGCATTCCATATGAACTGTGAGCCTGCTGAGGCTACAGTTCCGCAAATATGTTAAGCTGGTGCTGCTGCTGAGATAAGTGCTCCCACTCTACTCTTGTTCCTGACCTTTCATAATCCCAGCTAGAAAGTATTTTCTGCTTTTGTTTTGAGCCTGGGCCTTAAGGTTGCATTCAAAACCAAGACTAGAACAACAGCAGTGTTGTGGAGAGTGAACAGACTGGCAGAGCTGGACAGATTTTGGTTTGGGTGAGCTCTGCTTCTTGGGATGAGCAAAATGAGAGTTCCTCCATTGTGTCTCAGGTCTGAAGGATTGAACTGGTATCACTGTAATGCTCCTAGTACATTTTACATCCATTAAAATGCATACAGAAAAAAAATAAAATAAATTAAAAAAAAAAAAAGCTTTTATATCTTCAGGTCAGCTGTGCCTTCCCTAATATGAAGTGGACTAATTTTAGTCTACTTAACTTTTGCTCTGTCATCTTAATTTGCTCAGTTAGCCACGGGGAAGCTGGTGGAACTTCTTTACATACCAGAAACCACTGTCATCTGCTGTTACCTCTTTCACAGGGAAGGTGTATCTTTCCTTTGTATATACTTTGGAGAGTGAATGTAAAAGTGAATAAAAATCTCTAATTCACAGTTCTTGGCAGACTTAGCTGAGATGGCAGGAAGGTTACTGCTTGTTGATGTTACTGGGGATGGGAAGGTTTATCAGCTACCAGATTTTAGGCAGCTAACAGTTAGTTATCAGTTAGTTTATCAGCTAACAGTTTTTAGGCAGAACTCTGAATTGTTCTGTGTAGGCCTTGTCACTGTGGAAATTGTTTAAAATAGCAGTTGTAAATATCAACTAAGTATTGCTACTCTGCTCTGTAAACACCTATTGTGTGGCTTGTCCTGGTGCATTTTTGAACTGGATGAAATTCAATCATAGAGTGGAATAGCTTTGTTTTTGTGTAACATAATTATGTTTGAATGCAGAGCAGTGGAAGAGCACCATGTGTGTTTTATTCATATGTTGGCTTTGACAGAAGTAGCTTCCCTATTCAACTAATTCTAAGACTTGAATTGAAAGCCTCAAAACCAAGATGCCTCACTTAGTTATGCTACTTTCTGTTCTCTTTTATTCCATCCCAGTTAGAGCAGCAATGTACAGAACTTCTCAGTGGCAAAGAAGAAACCAAAGTAGAGAACACCAAGCTGAAGTTGACTAACCAGGAGCTGCTGAGAGACCTGGAGAGAACATCTCACGAACTATGCCTGGCTCAACAACAGTTACAGGTGCTTCAGGAGGAGGCGTCAAGACTACATGAGGAGAAGGAAATGTAAGTCTCCAGCTGCAGTGGTTCTAGTGCATTTGCTTAGCGTGCCAGTGAGCCTCCTTCTCAGGGTATTCAGTGCTGTGATTTAAATTTGTGTCATAAGCAGAAACCACTAGCAAAGCCAAGTGCAGTTCTAGTCATTTTTCTCCAAGTAATTCAGCATGTTTTCTGTAGCATATCTGGCTTCTACAGAATCTTTTGCTACTTCTTCAAAACGTCGGTGCTCGCCCACCCCTCCATTTGTTGAGGGTGTTTGGAATTAAGTCAGTTTCATTGGTTAAAAAGTATGTCTTAGTTTTGAAATACCAGTGGGATTCCTTACAGAAATTACAGTTGTGGCACATGTTACTCCATCCTCCTCAAAGCTAAGTCTATCTGCAGCTTGCTTCTCAGAATGTACTCTGGCTATGAGACAGCTACAATGTGCTTCTTTTCTTCATCAAAAGCAAGTCTAGTACATCATTTCTGACCAACAATCCCGACCAGCAAGATAAAATGTAGCTTATGCAGCTAGATCACAATTCAGAGAAGGCCTTATGGCCTTGGGGTTCATTTTGGCGTTTCCGGTTCAAATGTTTTGGATTTCAGATTCTGACTCTGAATTAAAAAAATGTTTTTCAAGAAAGAATATTTACAATTGATATTTTGAGGGATAGAAATGGTCTTTAAGTGACAAATCAATCTACCTGTCTTGCTTCAGCCTTCTGCACAAAGCAAAAGTTACATTACCCTGAAGCTGTAATTGGTAAAAATGTTCCCTGAAGTCCATTTAATAGAAGATAGTTTTTAAAAAATGCTCAGGGATCTATAAAACCCTTTTGTTGCCAATGAAGAGCACATGGATGCCAGACTGTGGTGCATATCTTGCCAGACTCTATACATTTCAGCAATGAAATACGTAACTCAGAGCTGTGGCTGTTTCAAGATAGAGCAGAATATTAGATCAAATGTCATATTCTTTTTCTGTTAAGCTTTGTGCCAAACTCTACTTAGTTATTACTAATCTAATTCTTCTTGAAGGTATAAATAATGAACTTTGTTGATAAATGATTGTTAAAGAACGGCCACTGTGTTTAGAACACTTAATTTTAGGTTTGCATGTTTGATGTGTGTTTTGGAAGTAGACAGTAGAAATATTCCTCCTCAAGGTGGTTTGTTTCCTCTTTGAGGCCTCTCTTTTCAGATCCAGAGCAAAGACTGTGGAATGATCTGTTTTTAAAGCTACAGAGGAAATCTGCCCAGTGGTCAGACTGCTGAATAATACTACTGCATTTACAAAGCACTGTGGATTCAATAGTGTTTTATGGAATTAGAGCTCAGCCCTACTCAACTGCACCTGCAGTGTTGCTTTAAACAACTGTATCAGTCTGGTAAGACCTGAGCTGTTGAAGCAGGTGTAATGTTCAGACTGTGCACAGGAAGAACTTGAGGCTTCGCTGAAAGGCAAAAAACGTTTAAGGCCAGACACCAAGTTGCATTAAGTCAAAGTAAATGGTGTAAATCTAGTGTAAAAATCCGAGACGCTGTGTCCAATGTTTAAGGCTGCATAACTGTTAAAGTCAGGAACTGAAAAGAAATTGTAGGGAATATAGATGTGTGAGCCTGACATATGGTTCTAGCAGCAAGATAAACTCTAATTTTGGTTAAAATGTTACATGGTCTTTAGTGGCCATGAGTGAGAAGGATTTCAGCAGTATGTCTTCTCTGAATGATGCAAGTGCCAATATCAGTGTATATTAAGCTCTCTGGATGAAGAATCATAAAGCTGTGATTTTTTAAAAAAGAACCTCTACTCCTTCCTCTGCTAACTCAAATTGCTGTGTTACTGTGGGCCTTATACTGAATAAACTTTTTTAAAATTAGTAACCATTCATGCAGAATAAAGTCTACAGGTTTGGAGAAGCTAAAGTCCCAAATGTGGATACTCCTAGGGGGAAGCATTTTAGCAGTGTTGTTACCATGGTTAGAACAATTTTATTTATTTATTTTCATTACAGGGAGGTGTACCGAGTGACAGAAACCTTACAGAGAGAGAAGTCAGGACTTCTGAAGCAGCTGGATTTTTTCAGGTAATGCAGACCTTACATTCAAGGACTTCTTGCATCATTCTAAAGAGATACATTAAAGGATGAAATTATGTTGGGATATGTACTGGGTGTAGGTGTCCGGATGTTGGCAGCGGGGCACCACAGGGGCAGGCCTCTGTGCCAGAGAGGCCGGGGCTGCCCCATGCCAGACACAGCCAGTTCCAGCCGGCTCCAGCAGATCCACCACAGGGCACAACTGAGCCACTCAGCCAAGATGGTGGTGCCTCTGGGAAAGCGTGTGTAAGAAAGGGTAGAAAACACTGTGCAGCAGTTGAGAGAGAGGAGTAAGAAAAAAATGTGTGAGAAACAGTCCTAAAGACACCCAGGTCAGTGGAGGAGGAGGGGGAGAAGGTGCTTCAGGCGCTGCAGCAGAGATTCTCCTGCAGCCTGCGCAGAGTCCACACAGGAGCAGGCTCCTGGCAGGAGCTACAGCCCATTGAGAGGAACTCATGCAGGAGCAGGTCTTCTGGCAGGAACTGCGGCCCATGGGGGACCCACACTGGAGCAGTCTGTTCCTGAAGGACTGTGCCCCATGGAAAGGATCCATGCTGGAGCAGTTTGTGAAGGACCATAACCTGTGGGAGGGAACCCACACTGGAGCAAGGGAAAAGTGTGAGGAGGAAGGAGCAGAAGAGAGGAGCTTTTATGGACTGACCACAACCCCCCATTCCCCATCCCCCTGTACTGCTTGGGGTTGGGAAGGAGGTAGAAGAGTTGAGAGTGCAGGAATGAAGTTGAGCCTGGGAGGAAGGGGAGGTGGGGAGAAGGTGATTTTGATTTTTGTCTTTGCTTCTCATTATCCTACAGCTGAGTCTGTTTTGTCTGTGATGGTAGTAGGGAAGCAATGTTCCTGTCTTTATCTAGACCCACAGGATTTTCCATCTTATTTTCTTCCCCTGTCCTGTTGAGTAGGGGGAGTGAGAGAGCGGCTGGGTGTGTTTCTGGCAGCCAGCCAAGGTCAACCCAACACAGGATAATGACACAGAAGACAGCAAAAATGGTTATAAAAGGCAATATGACTTTTGTAAGCCCCATTCTTGCACACAGTAGAAGGCAGTACGCATGAAAGATTTGCTTTGTTTTGGCAATTTGGTATTGTAGGACAATCATCTCCATTCCAAAAGTCAAATGTAAAACAAAACAATGGTGAACTGTTCTAAGCTGGTTCCGTGGTAGAAGCCTGGCCACAGGAGACTTGAAGCTTACTAAAAGGCTCTGTTGTTTCTAAAGTGATGGGAGTACAAACAAAATGAAGATTCCTTCCCCCAAATATTTTTTGTAAAATTATATCAAAATATAGTTAGCAAATTTTCTCTGTAATATTTCTGTATTGATAGACTGCAAAGTTTGGAATTATGTTCAGACAATTGTAACCCTCTTTTTAATGTGCAGCAATGCTAGTTTTTATTTGCTCAATAAGTTTGCATGGGCTATAGATTGTACTGGCCTGTAGGCCTTCATTCACTGCATTTCCTTCAGGAGGCCTCATTTTAAAGTTACCTAAAAAGCTTCTGTGCTTGAGGAAAGGCTGTTACTTTGCAGTGTGTTTCCCGTAGGCCACTCCATGTGGTGTGATTTTGCCTGCTACTGGTAACGGGGCCATAGATAGAAACATCTGACAGCAGAGGTTGTTTTCTGTTCACTAAGGCTGTAATGGCTGCTTAGTCTCTTTTGTGGCCAGGCCAGCAACATATGGAGACGCTGACTGATGTACTAAGCAGGTGTGTTGTCAGATCTGATCAGAGTTGGCTGATTGCCTGGAGTCTTCGTTTCTTGACATTTTCATCTCTTCTGCATAATGAATGGAAGACGGATGTTTTCCTAGGGAGACTTTTCCATGGCAGCCACAACTGTAGCCATCACAGGGACATAACTGGCCTTCACAGGTGTCACCAGATGAATAGAGATGGTGTTCATTACACCCTCTCCACATTAAGAAGTTATCTTTACTGTGAAAAGCTTTAAACATTCTATTTTAGAGTAAGTGAAGGCACATTGACCAGAAGTGATTTCTACGTGTTAAGGCATTTGTTTTGATAAGCTATGGAATGAGGGCCAGATGCTAGCTAGCTTTAATCAGCATAGCACTACTGGAGATTCAGTGGCCCAGACAGGGAGCTGGCTGTGGTGAGAGTATAAATAAAGCACAATCAAGGGTGGAGATACGCCAAATTAAAGTGCATTTGTCTTGCCTTTTACACTGCCAACTGTCCAGTCTGTTAGTGTTGAGTATTAAAATCAGCAGTTGTAAATACTTGGCCTCAGTGTTTCTTTTCTTTGTGTTTTCTTTGCAGGGAGAGGAACAAACATCTCAAAGATGAACGTGACGTATTTTTACAGGTAAACAACTATTATTTTCAAACCCAATGTTGAGCAAACACATATCAGAACAGCCTCAAAAGAAGGGTATGAGAAGGCTATGCAGGAGACAGACTCTTGTGCTACGTAAATCTTGCCCCATTCTTAATTTATATTGTCTTTTTGCTCACTTGAGAATAAGATTTTTAAGTTTGCTATACAAATTTAAGAGCTACATTTTTAGAATTATAAAGTTGGAGCTTCCTTGAGGGAGATGAATGTGTTTTATAAAAAGCTAAGGATGCAATCATGATAGGACAAAATAACCTAAAAATTGAACAATTTAATTGTGTTAATCTTTTCAGTCAAGAGTAGCTAATATCCTGAAATGTTTATACAACAGTACAATATCTGAGTACCTGAATCAGTACCTGAATACTGGTACTAGGTAAGAGCAGATCACATTAACTTTTTATCCAGCAGCAGAGAATGGGCCCCTGAGAAGTTCCAGAAGTCCCCTGGCTTAAGGAGACTAAGGCCACTTAGTTTACACTTGTTTGTGTTCTTATTCCTACAAGAAGCTGCTAGTGTAAATCACCATATATCTATTGACTTCTTTTCATGACATGCTGTTTTATTGTGGTCCACTTAGTTTACAAAGGAAATGAATTCTTGCAGGATCTGGAGTTTCCATGTTCTGATTGTTTATCAATCAGGATTTTGAAGCATTTATACCTCTAGACTTTTTTCTACAATTTTTTCTTTCATATTCATTGCATTATTTAAGCGTTAGGAATAAAGGCAGTTAACCATAATGAACAACAGGAGTAAATTAGCAAGAAGTATTCTGTATTTCTGCAGAAATGCAAAACAAGTGTTCCAAAAGCCAGCTGGAAGCAAAGATCAGGGTCTGTCATTGGGAAATACATGGAGAGCAAGATGCTGCCTAACAGGTAAGAACTTTTTTTCATGTGTTCCCTGTTTTAGTACAATAAGGCAAATGAAGAGGCAAATTTTCACATAAAACAAGTGTACTGTCTGCAAAGGCAAGAGACTTCCCCATCGTGGATGAGTATATGCTGGGAGGCAGAAAAGCTTGCCCATTAACCTATGTTGATGTGGTACAATGTCCTTGGTAACTCCCTGGAAGAGTATACCTCCTTCCCTCTCATTGTAGAGGACAGCAGTCCTGTTGTAAAGTATGGGATGTGGAACTAGTAAAACATGTAGAATTTAATTCTCAACTGTGTGGTAGTAAACTTGAAATCAGCAGGAAGCATGTTTCCTTTGAGACAAGAGGAGCTGGAAAGAAGACTAGTATTTCACTTTGAAATAGCAGCTAAGACAATGTCCCTGAAGGTACAGGGCCATGAAGTGTAAGCAGGGAAAGCTTTCAGAGACACAGTGTAGTAAGTTCAGTACTGAGAAGTGGAGCATAATTGGCAACAGCAATTATGGCACAAAAATAACAGAAAAATTTAGGTGGAAACAACCTCTGATGTCGCTAGTCCAGTCTCCTGCTCAAACAGGGGTGACTCTAAAACTAGATAAGGTTGCTCAGGGCCTTGTTCAGTTGAGTTTTTGAACATCTGGATGGAGGTCCCACAGCCTTTTTGGGCACATGTTCCCTTGCTGCACCAGCCTCATTGCTGTGGTTTAACCCAGCAGGCAGCTAAACACCACACAGCCATTCGCTCACTCCCTCCCCAGTGGGATGAAGGAGAGAATCGGAAACAGAGGGAAAAAAAAAATTGTGGGTTGAGATAGAGAGTTTAATGGAACAGAAAAGGAAGGGATAATAATAATAATAATAATAATAATAATAATAATAATAATAATAATAATAATAATAATAAACGAATATACAAAATAAGTGATGCACAATGCAATTGCTCACCACCCACTGACCGATGCTCAGCGAGTTCCCAAGCAGCGGTCCTCCGGCGAGCTTTCCACTAGTTTATATACTGAGCATGATGTCATATGGTATGGCATAGCCCTTTGGCCAGTTTGGGTCAGCTGTCCTGGCTGTGCCCCCTCCCAGCTTCTTGTGCATCTCCAGCCTTCTCAGTCGGTAGAGCATGAGAAGCTGTAAAGTCCTTGACTTAGTGTAAGCACTACTTACTTGTGCACTTGGCAGAGCATGGGAAGCTGAAAAAGTCCTTGACTGGTGTAAGCACTACTTAGCAACAATGAAAACAGCAGTGTGTTATCAACATTATTATCATACTAAATCCAAAACACAGCACTATACCAGCTACTAGGAAGAAAATTAACCCTATCCCAGCCGAAACCAGAACACTCATGGAGACAGTTTGTTCCCCATATCAAGTCAGCATTTCTCTTATTGCAACTTGCATCTGTGGTCATTGCACACATCTGAGAAGATTCTGGATCTATTTTATCTACACTCCCCCTTCTGCTGAATCCCCACTTTGCTTTTTTTTCATCCATATTAAACAAACCCATCTCCCTCCTACCTGCTAAAGATAGAATTAGGTTACATATAGAAAGGGTGTGGGTTGGGCGGTTGTTTTATTCTTCCAGGATAGAGGCGGGAGGGGAGTAGGAGATCACAGCAGAGAAATTTACTTTAGCTATTCCATGAGGTTAGAAATGAGGCTAATCTTTTGTTTTGTATTCTGGTTCAGGTTTTCCCCATAAGTTATTAGCTTTCCCCATGATGCTTATAATTATCAAGCAGGCTATATATATATATATATACACGTTGTATGATGAGCTGACTTTCAGTAAACATTGGACTGAATCTACTAGGCCTGCTGTGCGTAGTAAAAAACATGGGAGATAGAATAAAACATAGGAATCCAGGTCCAATATATTTTTGTGATGTACTTGTTTTTTTCTCTGTCTAGCCATTCATTTGAAGAAGATGATGTTTTCAGTAACTCAAAGAGAAGGAATTCTGCTGGACTGAATGGAATTCTCTCTGTAGAGCCTGATGCTGGAGCCACTGGAGGAATGTCTAAAGCATCGCGTCTCCAAAGAATAATATCAATTGAGGAAGATCACCTACCCCAGCTTCTTGACAGGCTGGTTGATAAGCAGCTGAACAGATGGGCTGGAGAAGATGAGAATACTTCTTCTGAGATGGAAATGGATAAGAAAAACACAGAACAATCAATGGAACACTCACCACCATCTTCTAGAGAGCAGCCTGTAGGGAAGGAAACACTGTCAAATGTAAGGGGGCAAAGGGGACCTCATGTTGTGTTGTTCTAGGCCCCACCACTTAAGAAGGATGTTAAGGTACTTGAATGCATCCAGAGGAGGGCAACAAAGCTGGTGGAAGGGCTGGAAGGCATGTCCTGTGAGGAGCGGCCAAGGACTCTGGGTTTGTCTAGTTTGGAGAAAAGGAGGCTGAGGGGCAACCTCAGTGCTCTCTACAGCTTCCTGAGGAGGGGAAATGAAGAGAAATGCTGACCTCTTCTCCCTGGGATCCAGTGATAGGATGCATGAGAATGGTTCAAAGCTGTGCATGGGGAGCTTCAGACTTGACAGTAGGAATCATGTCTTTACCGATAGGGTGGTCAGACACTGGAACAGACTTCCTAGAGAGGTGGTCGATGCCCCATGCCTGTCAGTGTTGAAGAGGCATTTGGACAATGCCCTTAATAATATGATTTAAGTTTTGGTGAGCCCTGAAGTGGTCAGGCAGTTGGACTAGATGATCGTTGTAGGTTCCTTCCAACTGGAACTATTCTATTCTATTCTATAGGACCTTGGAAAACATGAAATGGTGTTAAAGGGTAACGTGTTATTCTTAGAATCTAAAATTATTTAGTTTTCTGTTTTTAAGTTAAAGCATGACAAATTAAGCTGTTGCATGAAGAGGGAGATGGAAATATGCTGCAGGTAAATGTTGAAGGTGCAAAGAAGGGAAACAACCTAAGGAGTGGTAACTGCCGACAATGTGTGCGTAGACTTATGTCTGAAGGACTGTTTAGGAAAAGTGGAGTTAAGCCTTGTAACAGATGACACAAGAAGATCCACTGAAAGGTAGCGATTGTCTATGGAAAGAAGCAACTCTTTTTCTGAAAAGTTGGGGTTTTTTTTTGCCAAAAAGTGACATTTCTCATATTCTGATACTTTTGGGTCAGCTTTAGTAGCTGTTACACTATCTGAGAAGTAAGGAGAGCAGATATCTTTACTTTTTAATTATTTTTTGAGAAGACTTTTAATTAGCAAATTGAAATCCAGATTTTTTTTTTCAGGTCTAGCTTGTATGTGCATGTTAACAATGAATTCACCATGCAGTAATAATGCTTAAAACAATACTCTGGAAGTTATATTTCTTTGGAGTCTAAAGTCCTTCTTGCACTGCTATTGCTTCAGAGCTAGCTGTGCTTGTTTTCTAATTTTAGTATCATTGTTAAGTATTACTCATTTTTAGATTCTTGAAGCACGTATTAAAAAGATTTAAGTATGGGAAAAATAGGTATGCTTGGTCATAATTATATAGTTCTTTTAGAAGAAGCAAACATATCTTAAAAATTATGATAGAATTATGCCATGGTTACATAATAACTTCTAAATGGTACATTTTAATAAAAAGTCTAGGGCACAGAACAGAGCTTCATCCTTTGAAATGATTTAATACAAAGCATACTTTTTGCTTGCTTTATGACTTGTTTTGTATCACATTTTCAAAGTATGGCATCATTGGACTTTAGGACAGCAAAAGCCAAGTAGGTCATCATGTCCAGCTTGGACAAACCTGTTCTGCTTGCTCTGTTTCAGCAGTCATGCCCCTTGATAGTACATCCTCTCAGCTGGGTAGGAACTGGGAGTTCCCTCAGATCTTGTTCCTTATAATTTTTCTTTTTCCCCAAAACAACTGAGAGCAAGCAGGGAGGGGAGAGAAGAAATCATAAAATGTCTCCTGCCTGGTTGTTGAAAACATTTTGTTTTGGCTTCTAAAGAAACATTGTGAGAGTAAACAAGAAGTTCATCTCCAAAGGTCACTTGGAACTCAGAATTCAATTTCCCCCTCCCCCCCCCCAAGCCCAGGCCTTAGTTTGGGTTGGTTTTTTGCTTGTTTTTTTAAATTTAGTTTAAAAAAAACACAGCAGAATACTTCTTTCTGATAACTCTCATGTGGCACTGAAATATGTGCATGGTCCTGCATGGTCCTCTTGGCCTGCTGACTAGGCCTGCCAACGACTATTCAACTGATGGCATTCCATTGCTTAGGGTAGTCTCTAGGCTCTGACACTTCGTGTGAGTAGTACTTCGTCCCCTTCCATACACCAGCTGTAGTCCAATGAATTTCTCATACAACTTTGCGTTTCCTAAATGATGGCTCTTGGGATCACCGCTTTCTGACCATGAGATTTAGACATCAGAAGTGATCTTCTTCCATCCAGTGCTCGCACACTGATTCCCTCTCCTGACAGCATGCCTGGGCTAGGAGGAGTGGTATTCAACTAGTAAGTGTTTTCAGGGCAGCTCTGCAGATAATCCTCAACTGGTGCTGAAGAAAGCTTCAGAAAAAGATAACTTCCTGCTTGCTGCATCATGAATTATGAGGTGTGAGTCTCAGTCAACTAGACTGTCTTCTGCAGCCAGTCCTTCTCTCCTCTCATGTCTTGCTGCTCAAAGGATCTGCAGTATAAAGGAGTGTATGATCTAGAAATACTTGTGCAAAGGACGCGGAATGATTCCATGCAGTTGTTACATATGTTGCTCCCTCAGATATGAAGTCTTGCCATTCTCTGTTTTGCACTAAGAAGATGAAGGATCTGGGACAACCTGTATTTTTCAGTTCATCGCCATTTGTGTTCCTATAGTCTACATGGCTTTGTATTACTGCATTCCATGATCTCATGCCTTACTATACTGAACTCAGGCTCATAGCTGCTGACATTAAGACCTTCCTATTCACCACATATTCACAGTCATTTAACTGCTAATCCTTTATAACCTACCTCATCTTATAGGCGAGTAGAACCAATGTAAATTTTGTCTCCTTTTAGAAATGAGCAAGTCAATTTCCTTCCTATGGAAGGTGACTTCTGAAAGTGTCTAAGAATTTGCAGCAGTACATGAGGCCAGCAATTGCTCTTTTTTAACAGTCAGTTAGAACATTTTTCTGAGTGGCTATGAAGATGAAGCTGCAGTTAACATAAGCAGAAATGTGATTGGGAAAACACCTGAAGGAACCGTAATGGAAATGAAAGCAAGATTTTCTGTCCAAAACTTCTGCTCGAGATGCAATTCCTCTCAATGTGGAATATGAACCACTATGTTTATACCTGCCATCTTCCACATTTGTGTTAAATTGCACAAAAGGTAGGTATGTTACTTGACCTGGCTACTGTTTATATGAAGGCCACTCAGAAGACACGTCTAGGGAAGACTTTTTCAGACTGCATTGTTAACTAAAGTAAATTTACATATCACTGCTATTCCATTATCCCATAAGCACTTCGTTGAAGTAGACTATGAAGTAGCTCATCCCTTAGTATAGTGTTCAGATGCAGTTTTAGAATCAAGTTTGATTATTAAGGTTATTTTCATGAGTGAACTTGATACATCTCAATGAAAAATAACTGCCTGTTATGTTGGGAGTTGAGCTGAAGGCCTCTGGTGTCTTTGAGTCTTGGTGCTACTGAGGTGTGTATGACCACCAGGGACAAGGTATTTTAGGTCATGTTGTCCATGTATTTAGTTATTGTTCTCAGAAGCACTGTGAAAATGGTGCCAAGCTGATGATTGTATGTTCACTTGTTTTATTTCCCAGAGCACGCAGACTAACAAGCTAGGAATGTTTTTCAGCAGAACTGAAAATGTGCTTTATATAGATGTATGTGTATTACTAGCAGCCTGTAGTTGCAGTGGAGTTTGGGATTTTAATAGAAAAGGAGAAGTGAACAATGAGATAAGAAATCTCTGTATAGTTGTAATGAGCTATTAGCCCAGCTCATGAAAGAGACATGTATTTTCGTCCCCAAAATTTACAGCAGTGAATGAATTTTTTTCATGCTAAGGAAGACAACAGCTCGAGTTTTTTTCCCCATCAAGTGCAGCTCTGTATTGTTTCTACTTCTTTGTGTAAGGCTTCAGGACATTTGTAGAAAACATTTGGAAGGCCAGACTTCAATGTCCCATTCAAAGGACTGTCGGGCAGTGAGTTCAGTTCTGATGTCTTCTTGAAGTCACCAGTCTCAGGGATTCTGTACCTCAAATGCCTAGCAGAGGGCCTTTCGTTTCCTCCTCTCCTCTCCCTCCTCACAACTCCCACCCCAAAAATCTAATGCCAGGAGCATCCATGATCTTGCTCACCTTCTGCAGCATAAAGAGCAAACTCGCTATCTCCCTCTTCCTCCCCCACCTTTCACAAAAAAGGAGAAGAGGCCAGCTAGGGCACCCCCTGCCAACCAGCTGGTGCTACAGTGCTCTTCCCTAAGTGACTCCTGATCTACATATAAAGGTCTTGGGAATAATGACCTACTTACAGAGAATATAAATATTCCCTCCAGCATCCACTTAGCTTAGCCTGCAGTAAACAGGACGTGGATAGGCAGAACAAATTGTTCTTCTTTCTGCTTAAAAAACTAAATGACAGAAACATAGCTGAATGTTTACAACCTGATTAACTGGGTCTGATTCCCCCTCTGTCTGTCTCTTTCCCCTGTGCTTCTGCCTGTAATGTTAAACAGATGTAGAAGTGCAGCAATTCCGTGGAAGCTCTTGGCTCCACAATAGTAGCAGAGAGAAGAATCTGGTGATAGATGGCATAAGCCGAAAAATTATGACTTTGCTTCTGTTATCTAGGTGAAGATGCACTGTTTCCTCTGTGTCATTGGTATAGGATGAAACTACTGAGCAGAGCTGTGTGAAGCTTTATGGGTTTTGATTTGCAGGGATGAACATAAACCATTTTCTTTTGGCAATTTCATGAATTTTTCAATGCAGTCTCATGTCAAGGTTCATATTCAGTGTACTTCCAGAGCTCAGTCCAAATCACTGCACTTCAAATGATCTGGAATGATGCATGGCAAACATCTGAAATGCTGGGTTATTTTAAGAAAGAGAATATTGCTTTATGAGTAATGGAGAACATGATAGGATAAAATCTCTTATTTTTCCCATGTCAGTTAGTCTTCAAGACAAGGCAAATCAGAGAGGCAACAGGATTTATAGAACAGTTGGAGACTAATGTTTGCTCTTACTTGAAGGAGGAGAGAATAAACTCTGTCCCAGACCGCTTATTCAAGATTATTTTTGTGGGCAATGCGAGTGTTGGAAAGACTTCATTCTTAAGGCGATTTTGTGAAGATCGTTTTTTCCCAGGCACAGCTGCTACTGTAGGTAAGTTTAAGAAACATTATTACTATTATTATTATTTTTGTTCCAACAGTACTTAGCAGCTTCTACTGAGATCAAGCCCTGTGTTATAAAACAGAAACGTACAGATGTTGTAAAAGCCATTATCCAAAAGGAGAGTAGGTCATGCAAAGTGAGTTCTTCTAAACTGGGAAGCAGATAATTGATGGAGAGGTTTCACAGTAGAGTCCATACTGAAATCCTGGCAGTACTGAAATAAATCAGAAAAATCCTATTGATTTCAGTGAAGCTAGAATTTCCTTGTAGATCTCACTGTTCTTAAACCGATATCTTGTTCTCTGGACTGCACTGTACTAACCATCCCACCTCCATACCTCATGTCTATCACTCTAAGTAATCTGATTTTGTTTTAAAGAGAAAGTAGAATATCTGAATTGTGCTTGAAGATTTAGCATTATACTAAGCACCAAAGAAATATGTTGGACCAATGTTTTCAAAGCCAAACATTTCAAAACATACGTTGTAATTACATTGCCTGAAGTTGTAAACCAAACTTTCAAAAATCAGGCACATAATCAAGTTACAAAAACTTAAGTATAGGTTATTGCAATGCAGCTGAGTTACTGTAAATTACCAAATTCATTATACTTAGTCTGTATTGAGGCCTTACTTATTCTGCAGCATATATGAAATAAATCTTGTTCACAATAAAAGGTATTTCAATTAATGGATTTGTCTTGCATCTGTGACAATTTAGGAACATTCAGGTGAGCAGTTGCTGTAGCTCCCTTGACTTATGGGGTAGATAAAGACACCTGAGTTTAAATTTCTACTGGTATGTTGAGTTCACATTAGAGTCAGGGAGGATCTAAGGTCTTAGCATAGGGATTTAAATTCATTTTGGCACTATAAGGTATTTCACCTGGCCTTCTGCTGCTGCTTTGGAAGAGAGCAGGTCTCCTGGGTGTCCTGCCAGATTGAAACAGACATTTTGAACACCAAATGGCATCTCGGATAGCACTAGGCGCCTGCGAGCAAACAGCTGAATTCTGCCCTGCCATCCTCTCCAAATCAGTCCAGTCAGAGGACCCTAGGAACCAATTAATCTGACCCTTGATGCTTACTTCAGGGTGAGCTTAGTCATTTCCTAGACTCCTGGTTTTTCATTGACTAGATCTTCACTAACTGTAGTGAGAGCTTAGATACCTATATGCAATTGTCTACATTTAAGAGTCTGGTGCTATGTCCTATCCATGTTGTCTTGTAAATAGCTGATATGCTTCTCTAGACTCTGACATCTTGCACAGTGTGTGCAATTGTCTAGAGCTTCCAGAGGAAAACCACAGGAATGCATCTGACCTTTTCATCTTTTGGCTGGTCATCCAGTGTTCTTGCAAATGCAATGGCAAGAAAGTATTTGTCATAGCTTTGATTTAGTCTTCACATCAATGAGTTTCACAGGTGTGGACTATGGCTGGCAAGATACAGATAGTTGAAAAGTCAAGTGAACAACCTGGAGAAGAGTGTTCTCATTGCATTTCTACAGAATAGCTCAAATTTCTTCCCTTGAAATAAAAGCAATGGGTATATCCTCCATCCAGATTTCTTAATTGCCTATTGAAGGAACATGGGCTTGGATGCTTCTTCATTAATGCCAGTGGTAAAAATCCCATTGATGTGGAAAATGGCCCCAAAGAAATTGTTGATGACCTGCTGAGGTCCCTTCTAGCCTGAATTATTCTATGATTCTGTGAGTCTATGATACAGTACAGTGTGATATAAGAAAATGCAGGTTGTCATTAGGAGCAGGCAGTGACTGATTAAGACTCTAATTATAGTTATAAATATCCAGAAGATACTTATATCATCACAGGTTAGGGGAATTGGGAGAGTGTTCATTTAAAAGTTTAGACAAATTAATTTTTGTCTTGCTTTTATTTAGCCGCATAAAAAATAGGGGACTAACCTAGCTGTAGTCAGCTCATTTTCTATATTCTGAAGAGGGGAGGAGGTTCTCCACATATTCAGTCCATCTATCTTCAGCATTTATCTTAGGTTCTGCTGTCCCCTTAATGTGGTACCTTGTGTTTTTCCACTAACTGTAGAAGGTGCCTATGTGGCTAGCACAGACTAAGCACTGAAATTTCAGACAACTGAAGTTACACAGCATGAATTCCAGGCTAAAAGGCTTAGACTGCTGTGGACTGTCAAAGGGAGCCTTGACTCACGTACCCTGATTTGGAAAGTTACTTATGTTACAGCTTTTACAAAATTCAACTACTCTGTTAACATTCAGTATTTTATTACTGAAGAACTTCTGGCAAATAAAAGCCGTTGTTGTTCTCTGATAGTTAGAGACTATGGACATAATTTTTAATGTCGTATCTATATTGTTACCTTTCTGGAATTGTCACTATTTGCTGGATCAAGTTTTCAAAGATCAAACTGAGCATATAAAGAGACAACCTACCTTGTATTTCTCTTATAGGTGTGGATTACAATGTGAAAACCATCACAGTAGATAATACCAAGGTAGCCCTGCAACTCTGGGACACTGCTGGCCAGGAACGGTGAGAAACATTCTGTTGCGGTTTAACCCTGGTAGTCAGCTAAGCACCACACAGCTGCTCACTCACTCCCCATCCAGTGTGATGGGGGAGAGAATCAGAAGGGTGAAAGTGAGAAAACTCATTGGTTGAAATAAAGACAGTTTAATAATTAAAAAAACCCCAAAACACCAAACCCACCATCACCAAAAAAAACAAGAAAGAGGAAAAGAAACAAAACCAAGAAAAACAAGTAATGCAAAAAAATCCAGTTGCTCACCACCAATCAAACAATGCCCAGCCAGTCCCTGAGCAACTGCAACCTCAGCCAACCTCTCTACGCCCCGCAGTTTTATTGCTGAGCACAATGTCATATGGTGTGGAATATCCATTTGGTCAGCTGGCCCAGGTGTGTTCCCCTCCCATTTCCTGTGCACCCCAGCCTACTCACTAGTGGGGCAGTCTGAGAAACAGAAAAGGCCTTGATGCTGTGTAAACACTGTTGAGCCCTAACTAAAATGGTATGTTACCAAAACTGTTTTCATCACAAATCCAAAACATAGCCCCATACAAGCTAGTATGATGAAATTTAACTCTATCCCAGCCAAAACCACTACATATTCTAAGGTTTTGCTTCCTTGACTCATCTGTTTGAAGATCAGTAAGCACGGATCTAATCCTGCTTCTCAGGAGAGGAACAGATATAGGAGTATTCCTAATAGAGCCAGTGAATTCACAGTTTAGATCCTTCCCTGGCAGCAATAATGTGCTGATTTGGTGCTAAGTGTCCATTGAAAAACTGACAATCTGTAAAAGAGAATCTTATTAAAGATCTTAAAAGTTTGGTACCACACAATTTCTTTAGGAGGAAGGCTGATTTTAAAATGTACCTAGAATTATTTCTATAGCAGAAAATGCCTTAATAGTTAAAAAAGTTTTTTTTCACCAAAACAATCCCATTGTAGTTGAAGATCTCCAAGTTTTTGTAAGTTTTCAGTGGTAATTTCCTTCCCTATCTCCTCACCTACCGTGTAGTTTTCTATTACTAAAAGCAAGGATGATAATGATCTACATTTTCTACAGGAAGCTTGGGACAAAAGCTCAGAAATCTAGCTAGCTTTAGGCAGAGCACTTTGTGAGGGGGGAAATTTCTGCTCCAGGCTTAAAATGAAAGAGGATTGGAGAAGGTGAGATATGCAGCTGATTATCCAGACTAACCCAGAATCAATTAAAGAAGGCAGAGGGAACTTTGCCACTTTCTTTCAAAAAATATTTTTTTGCAAAGAATTTATTTGCTGTTGCAGTAATTCGTGGTATTAGTGTCCTCCATGAATCTTCTGATGAATGTGAAAAGGGGTCTGATGATTCAGGAAGAATGGGATTGCTTACTACAATTCATAATAAGCCTCACCTTTCAAACAGGATCTGCAGTGAAGATCAGTATTACAGCTTCTCCCTTGTCTAGTTTATGGAATTTTAGAATACATATATAAACCAAATTAACAGGGGTTTAACCCTTACTAAGACTAGATTAGAAGAAACTGTATGGCAACATCTTACTTTGGGGAGGGTGGGGATTACTATAAAATTTTGCTTATATTGTCAGATTGCTACTTCTGTTGAAGAGAGCTATAAACAGGTTCTTACTTGTAGGTACCGAAGTATTACTAAGCAGTTTTTCAGAAAAGCTGATGGTGTCATTGTGATGTATGATATAACAGCAAAAGACACATTCACAGCTGTCAAGCAGTGGCTGATAAGCATCGAGGTAACATGACATAACTTTAAATCTAAACTTTGGTGTCATTATTCTCTACTTTCTTCTGGACAGGAAGTGTTAGCAGGGCAAAGCATAGAGAGCAGCATCTTTCTTGTGTTGTCACAATTACATTTTTGTTAGTGATTTTGGACTGCACAGTTACCAGTAAAGCTGTTTTTAGAATCTCTGTGTCTATGTAAATAATCACAGTTCGAGGGTTTTAAGGACTTAAAATGAGTGGTGAGGAAAGCCCAGTACGGAGTCCTCTAATTTCTCGTAAAGGTTATCTAGCAGATGACTCCCATTGGATCACCACTAGCACTGGGATGTGCTTTGGATCAGTGATGATGGTCTGATGATCACTGATTATCACTAGCAGTTTGACAATGAAGTATGTAGCTCACGGGAAATTGACTGTGTTGTGAACATAAGGCATAACCTTAAAGCTATGGTATCTACAGTAGTGCTATAAAACTCTCTCATGGTAGACAGTTCAGTTTCCTGGGGATCATCCTTTCAACCACATGAAAACAAAATCATAGCCCATGCCACTGAGTGGCTTCAGTTAATTAAAAATTCTCTTTTTTCCTCTTGGTATATCTCTGTAGCTCATAGACAACATATTGAGAGTGCAAGCAGCTGAATTTGCTTGTGGCCAAAAGAAAAAATAAAAATAAAACTGAGGTTGCTAGAGAGAACAAAATGTGACTTCCTATTTGCTCACTATTGTAGAGTATTGCTGCTGAAAAAGTAGGGGACAAATTGATATGCGAAGATCGTTTAGTCTAATTTTATTGGGCATGTACTGTAATATAATACACTGTTTTCCATAATGGCCAGTAGGTGGCTTTGCAAGTTGAAATTAGGACTCAAATGTTTCCAAACAGGCACAGTTATTCCTCATCTGAGTAGCTCTACTGAAGTAATAGTAGCATGCATTTTGTAAGAACAGGCCCTTATTAAATATATGATCTTAACAAATCAGTCATTGTTATAATTCAGTATGGTAAAAGCTAGAGGAGAATTCCAGGTTTTGATCCAGAAAAATCAAATATTGTGGTCAAAATCTTTCTCCAATCTGTAATAGTTCACTCATCTTTACTGACTGATTTTGTTTGCTACAAACTATTGCTAAGTTGAAGGCATACGGCCAAGTCCATTTACTGCTGCGGCATTCAGCCCACTTTATGAATGTGCTCATTGTGATAATTCTAACCATTTTCAGGATTAATTTTGATTCATGCCTATTCTATGTATTTTTGGGGGCCTATTCTGTGTATCTCTCCACTACTTTATGTAATTTATTTGGCATAATTGTACCCAGATGTTGTCATTATTTTCCTGTCCATGTAATTAGAAAAGCAGTGGCTATAAACATGCAATGTCAGAGCCTGTGTAGCATGGTAGTTCTCTCTCTCTCCCATTTTAATATAGAGTCTGATGAGCTTCTGTGCTGTTATTAAAAAATGCCAAGTTAGTGCAATCTCTAGCATTCTGTCTTTTTCATGCCATTTATCCAACTCTAATTCCTGACATATTTGTAAGTAAAGCAGCACATACATGATGTCTTAAATGTCTTGTTGCAGTGTGACATTTGTTACTTTTTTATCCTCTTGATCTGTCATTTTTTAAATATAATGCCTCAGTTGATATTTATTCTTTGTTCTGCAGGAGGCAACTGGGGAGAATGTACCTGTGCTTTTGTTGGGTAATAAAACTGATAATGAAAAGGAACGTGAGGTCCCTATGGGAATGGGAGAGCATCTTGCTAAGGTACTATACTTACGGGGGAACCCCTTACGAAATTTGAAGGTGAAGGTTCTAAAATGGAGTCTGAATGTGTCTAAATTCATAGAAACTCGGATTTTAATCAGACAAGTATTTTTAAGGATTAGGAACCCCGTCACACTCATCAGTTCAGCTCTCGGTGACGTAAGTGCTGGTAAATATAGTAGCTATAAAACTGTCCAGATGAAATAAATAAAAAGTAAGTGGTGCAAAAACTATTTAAGAATTCACTCTCATTGTCTCTCCTCTCTCTTGCCCCTCTCTCTCCCCCCCTTTCTTCTCTCTTTCTCTCTATTTCCTCCCTCCCTTCTCTTTTTCTGTTTTCTTCTTTTCTCTGTGGATGGATTCTTAACAGAGACATATTTTGGGGACCTTGTCTCCCTCCTACCTCCTGTAAAACCACAGAAGACCATCTGTTACTCTTATGGTAGGAGTAGAAAACATGTTTACTTTTAGTAACTTCCCATCAAGGAGATAAAATAAGTAGAGTTAACAGTCTGCATTTACCACAGCACTGGTGATCCATGGGCCATAATTTAAGCATTAAGGGACTGCAAATAGCAGATACTTGTTTATATTCCTGTGTACCATGCCCATCAGTTTTTCTTTTGAATCTCTCTATACAATGCATATAGTTTGAACACCAATGCCTCCAGAATATTCATTTATTTAGAAATAAGTCATCCCAATATTCCTGAGAAATTAACTGATTTAGTAGGAATTTACCTAAATTAAACAATGTGCTGGATTTCACATATGTACTTGTTTCTCCTTTGAAAATAGATTTACAGCTCTGCTTGCTGGTAACCAAAAAGGATATTTTCAAAATCTGAAATGCAGCTGAGCTGTTCTTGGTTTATAGGAAAGATTGCTGCTAGGCACTTCCCTATAACTGAAAGAATTAGGGCCAGATCTCTTTTTATCTTATTTTGATTATTCATATAGCCTTTTACAAGCATACCTCCATAGTCAGGTTTGTGTCCGTTATTTTAGTTTTATAGGGGCGCAATGTCAGCCTTGAACTTCATCCCTCAGAGGTTCTCCCTTTAGGAAATCTGCTTTATTTTCTTGTATGCATGGAAATGCAGATAGTTTTGAGACCCTGGAGGCTGGGAGGGACTCCACGGTGTAACATTGAATCCTTCTGTGAAAAAACAAATGACACATAAATGCTAAATGGACAGAGTAGGTGTCTTACGTGTCATTTAGCTCTCTTAAAAAATTGTACGAGTAAACCAAAGATGAGTCATTCTAATATATAGAACTCACAGCCCACCTGGCCATTAATTCCAGCATGTCATGCAAGAAAATAAAATGTTTTGCATGAGTAAAACAAAGTAAGTTGTCAAATTAAAGATGGTTATAATCAAATGAATGGATCTGAATGACTCATTTGAAGGTTTGAATGTGCTGCCTGAGGTAGCTAAGGGAAGGACAATGGATTAGTTGAAAAGCAGCATAGATATAATTAAGTTATAACAATTTGCTTGCTGAGCTAATAATAACCATGAATTTTAATGAGATATTAGTTCTTGCTAAACAGACATGTAATTCCTATGAAACCACATACCACTGTCTCTGTCAGTGAATGCAATTGAGTTACTTATTTTGTGAGTAATCCCATGAATTACTCACAAATGACCCAAAATACATGGGACTAGACGCTGAGCTGATACAAATATGTATAGCCATAATAGGTGAAAACAACCTTAAACCTGTTCTCGTGCAAAGAACCAGATTAGCCTGTTGACCTGGAAGTCTAACAGTTTTTATGGACTGTTTCAAGGTCTCACAGGATGGGATGCTTTTTACCTAGTTTTTTCTACAGTCAGAGAGGAATGTGTACTTTCAGGGGGCATTCCAGCCCAGCTATATTAACTCTTGCTTTGCTTCAGTCCCACATCTTACAAGTCAGCATACTACAAATTCAGCCAGAAACCCAAGGGCTCCCATTATAATGCACGTGTCACATATAACTTCTTTTCAAGGCAGGCAGCACAGTGCATTATTAAAAGGAAGAATGGCAGCTTGGAGGGAGTCCTTTCAGTTCCTTGTCATTTGAGAAGACTGGTAGTTGCAGTGTGTGTGATAGCCTGGGAAACGGGGAATAGAATGAGGATAGGGATTCTGGAAGGCATCATAGGGAACAACAAGGCTGCGATGAAGCTGATCTGTAGTTGGATGACTTAAAGAGTAAACATCATGATGGTAAGGAGAATTTTGCAGTATGGACTTTGCAGGGAGAAACAGCAGACACAAACCAAAATGTTCACATGCGGTACAAGAATGACCTGATGGAAAACATCTAAAACTCTCTTGATAGAGCTACTGGGATTATAAAGAAAAAGAGAGAGAAAGAAAAAAGAAAAGAAAAAAAAAAGGCAAGTCCATTGGACTGTTTTAGCAGAGGATCCAGGGGGAAAACTCCATTTAACAAATTTCTGTTTAGCTTAGCTTGATCCACTGATCAAGAGTTCATATGAGCACAACAATACAGAGAGTATTCAGATCATATTGTAAGCATTCAGGAACAGCCAATGTTCTATTTGAGTAGACTAGTGTAACCACTGCCAATTATTTAAATAAAATGGCTTATGATATAGGTGCTGCTCAGGCATTCAGGCAGCATGATTTTATTTTGGCCCTGCACAGACTTCCTGAATGATCTTAAATGGGTCAATAAACCTTTTTCTATCTCTGTTCCTCAACTATAAACTAAGATAATAATGCCTTTGTCTGCCTTGACTTTGCACACTATGTATGCTTCATGGGATGAGGACTGTTACTGTGTGTTCATACAGTGTCTCCTTTACGCACCTGTCAGTGCCATTGTTATACAAATACTGCTAATGAGGGAGCTGTTCTTCTCAGAGTGATACTACTTTACAGGACAGAAGTTGCCCACCTCCCTCTGGTAATCATTAATTTTCCTCCCTGTTCTTTAGATGTCTGCTGATTTGTATGTAACTTTTAATAATTAAGTAATTGCCAGTGATTTCCCAGGTTCACCAGCTAATTCCTGGACGGCGATGGATGGCATTTCCTGGCTTATTAATGATATGTGCTCTGCCTTCTGCTACTTTGTTCTCGTTGTATATGCTATCAATTAAAGTTTCCTCCCTGACTCAAGGAATGACACTTTGCATTTCCAGGCTGACTCCCCCTCCAGAGAAGGACCTGTTTGCCAGACTGACAGAAATAAGCAATTAATATCAAATGAGTTTAAATTGTTATCTTTCACCAATAAGAATTTGCTCTACCCATGGAATTTGTTGAAAAATCCATTCAGATTCATGCCAGCATAAATGATGTCATCACTCAGAGTTCTCTTCTAGTGAAATTCAGTTGTGTGTGGGGAAGATGTAGGAGTAATATCACTCTGTGCTTGACTGACATAAAGTAGCTAGATACTGACCAGAGCAGGTTTTCTATTAGAATTCTGATCAGCTGAGCTGAAAAAGAGTGTAAATCTTATTTCAAACTTGTGAAATCTTGTGAAAGTAGTCAGATGTCTATTTTGGAGAGGATAGTTTGTCATTCCCTCTCAAACTTCTCTTGCCATCACAGCTGCCAGGTCAGGCTTTTGTGCAAATGATCTCTTGCACGTGCATTTATTGTGATAAGGCTTCAGCTGAAGTGCTGAGAATGTCTCCAGGGCTTGATCATTTATCCATTGTTCTTAATTGCAAAGCTCCCAAGGGCTACAAAGCCAAAGGTGCAGGCTGACTGCAAAAGAAGGTTCAGAAAAATTTTGCAAGTACAAAAAATTAAATAGAATTAATTTGTTATTATTTTTTGCTGAGGTCTTTAACTGGTCATTTGCTGGAAACCATTGGTCTCAGTTGAATACAGAAACACTGCTACTGAACCTTTCAAAGATTAAAAAAAAAAAGTTACTGGAATTATTTTCACCTGCTTTGTCAAGTATTCAGTGATGTACTAATTGCCTCATCATCACAAGGAAAGTTTGGTACCTTACAAGGCATGTTTGCGTTTGAGCCTTTGAGAGATCAAGCTCTTACAGCAAAAGCCACTGTATAGAACAAATATCTGCTAAGAAATATAGTTGTTGTTTGGGAGGTACACTTGGACTCCTTTTCTTTTCTTGCTCTTTATTGTTAGCTCTAGAATTAAATACTAATTTTTCCAAAGATGATCTAGTTCTGTTTCTTTATTTGCATATTTCACTATGTCTGTGTCGCTTTTTTAAAGCTGGAGTGAGATATTGTGCAAAATTAATTGAAATGGTCTTTCTGTTTGATTCTAGGATTACCATTTAATTTTCTATGAATGCAGTGCATATTCTGGGTACAATACCACAAAGTCTGTGCTTCACTTAGCTAGGTAAGAAGAAAACACAATCTATGAGTTCTATATGTGCCTGACTTCCCTGTCACTGATGACAGAGTGAATTCTCTTTGTTAAATTAGTTTGATAGGAACTTATGGTGATGAAATGTTTGTTCCTTTTAAACTGATCTGTAGCCTGACCCTGTTGCTCCAACTGAGAAGTTGCTCAGGTTCATAAAGAGTCCTGTGTAAGCTAGTGAAGCTCTGTATAGACCCAGAAACACCTGAATCGTTGCTAGGAAAGCTGAGGGCCTGGGATTTTGTGGTAGTTCTTGCAGGAAGTTCTTGGCTGTTTGGAGAAATATGCTTGGACATGGATGCTGCTGAGTCCTTGCAGCAGAACATTGGACATGCTTCTTTCTCTGCTCATTACAGCTCAAATTCTGCTGTCTGCCTGGGGACTAGGAGAGGGAGAGATGGATTTTTCAAGTTATATAAAGGCTAGGGGTAAAAATACAGGTAAATCTGTCCCCTCTGACCTACTTACAGAGGTGAAAACACTGGTAATGAATTGGCAGATCTTTAATATTGTTGCCGCAGTTAGTGAAATTTTGTGAATGTGTCAGGTAATTGATAAATGTCTAGGTAGCCAGATATGGTTTTGTTTTGCTCCAGCCTCAAAAATAACAAATGAAAGTCACTGTTTTGAGTCTCTGTAATATACAATAAATGCTAATAATCAGCAGCAACTACATTTTTCTAACTAAATGAACAAAGGCAATTTTGTGATGGAGCCACCATAATTATACTTTTTTGTTTGTTAGTTAATTCACAAAATTCTGTCATTTTCTGTCAATCTCTGGACAATTTTATAGGCTTGGGGGAAATGTTTTTTGTTTTGATCTCTTATGGGTGTTATTGACTTTTTTCTCAAAAGTATTGTTTCTTTCCCCCAGGATTTTAAAGGAACATGAAGATAAAGTGAAAGAGAAAACCATTGAACTTCAATCTGACATGAATAAAAAGTCTTGCTGTATCAGGCCATAAAATGCTGGGGCACGTTTAGACAAGTCATACATTTATACGACACTACATGGCACCATCAGATTTGCTTTATCTTCCAAATATTTCTTCTATGTGTTCTGAGTGTAGGTGTAAGTGAACCTTAAAATCCTTGTATGCTCTGATCTTCACTTTTACAAATATTGTCTTTAGCGAATTGACAATGTATTTGGGGCAGTAACAGTCTTTTATTCTGTTTGATGCCTAACACGACTGAATCTTGCTTTGTGATCAGGCTTGTAGAAGCTGCCACATTATTAACAATAAGAAATAATTTTGTAGGAAGAAAACTACTTGGAATGTGAAGTAAATTCTTACTGGTGTGGATGACCTATCTTCTGAATACTTCTGTTCATTTCAGTGCTCTTTAGATCCTGATTTTGTGCTGACATTTGTTACAGTTTTTCAAAAACTGAAATAGGTAGCTGGTTGGTTATTTAAAAGCAACACACCAGCAATTGCAAAGTATAAGGTGATATTTTAAAGCTTAGTGTGAAATATACGTGAACAAAGGATTGAAGAACTGCAAAGATTCCCGTAAGTAGTACTAACTCATTTATACTACACATTGTTGCATTGTCCTTGATAAGAAACCCTTCCTCCCACTTAGATATGATGAATTAGGTATGTTTAGACAGGTCACTGAGATACCATACAGGCTTGCCTGAGCTGCTGCCAAATAAGCTAGCATGTTTCCATGGTGAGGTGGTGCTATGCAAATATCTAGCTTAGTTTCCAGAAACAGTAAAGTCATGGTAGTGCAGTGCTTTACTCTGGCTAGTTAGCATTGCACTCAGAGCAAATCAGCCTGCACTCTTCACCATATTTGACACGGCTGTAGTGCTTTGTGTTGTAGAGCTTGTTCTGAACCTTTGTTTGGCTATGGCCTCCTGTACTAGTCTCAAAGCAATCTGTGGCCAACTTAAACATTCAAATCAATTCACTGTCATTAGTGCTGGTTGAAAACACATACCTACATAGGAAGCTCATTTCACTGGTATAGTACAAAGCATATTATGGCCAACTGAACAGCTCTTTGTCTCCAGAAGTCTGTCATAGAAGGTTTCATGCCAGATGTTGGAGCCAGAATTTTCAGAAATAGTAGATCTTCTTTTGAGGAAGATTTTGAGAAACTTTCCAGCATTTAAGGAGTGAAAAATCTCACGAAAATCCAGTGAGATACAGCTCTCTTGAGCAGTGTTAAGAAAAAATTCCTCCTCATATACCTAAATATGTGACTGATTTTTCAAAAGCATCTGCCACACAGCTTTTCCCTTTGGTTTAACCAGGGCGTGACAGCATCAAGATATAGTGTTTGAGAAATCAAACCCATAGGGACGTGTTATAGAAAATCGTGGCCCACCCTGGATCCAATTACTTCCAATTACTTTTGGAAGCCTTTGTAGAATATAAATGAAAATAAGAAACTTGAGTGGGTCACCCAGCCAGCACATGATCAGCAATTATTTTTGTTGGTATTTGTCTTCACTGCATCCGACTATAATCACCAAGAATGATTATTCATGATGGTGAGCTTGTTGGGAAAGTGGAACCCATGGCATAATTTATTTCATTAAAATATCAAGCAAAACTGTAGATTTTATTATATGAGACTGTTACAGACATTATGTTTTCAATCCATTTTCTAAATGTTTCAAAAAAGTTATTTTTAATTTGAATAATGAATCCATTTGAAACTAAAGATGAAAGTTAAGCACTAGCTCAGTAAGTAACTCTATTTTGGGATAAAAACTTCATCATTAATTAATTGTGCTCTTGGGATTTCAGTCTGATCAAAGGTATTTATCTAGTGCCAAGAACTATATGATAGAGGTTTGCAAACTTTCCCCTACAGCAATTCCTATATCCATACCAGCACTCAAATGCCCTTTCTTATGAGTTGAGATCCAAACATGACCCCTTTCCCTATCAAGTAGAATAACCAGGATTTTCCTTATATCAGGAATGATGGAAGGACCAAGAAGCCCAGGATGAGCTGATGCTTAGTGGTATTTCCCTTCCCAGTCTGCTCATCCAAATGAAAAAAACTCCCCTTGCTTCCAGTGGGGTGCTTAACCCCTAAAACCCAAAAGGAGCAAAATGAGCATCCATTAATGAAAATCAGTAGGCTTTCTGTTCACAGGGTTGCTTCCTGAAGTCCGTTACTGGTTGTGGAGTTGTGTAACACCTTATCGACTGTTACATGTTATCCATCATGGCAATCTTCTCAGAATTGAATCGCCTGTGTTCAGTCCTGGCTGGAGTTGAACTAATGCAAACCCCTAATTTAAACCTCAACAAAAACAATCGTTTATCCCAATTTATCAGGGAAGAAGTGTCATCTGTTAAAAGATGGGCTTTGCTAACTGACTTTGAATGATCTGTTTCCCTGCAGTAGGGTGTTTCCTACCCCATCAATATCAGAACTGGCAATATTTCTTCCAACCTCTGTCAGCCTCAGGAAGACAGTCTGAAGGCTTAATTTCAGCTTTACTACCACTGGCTCTAGCCCCAGAAAACTCCAAATTCAGATCCTTAATTTTTCGTTCCCTGAAGTTCATCTTGATTTTGGAGGAAAGTGACACATGAGGTGGATCTTCTTTATGTGACTTCTAGAACATCATTTTTATTTGGACATCTTTTAGCGTGCACTGAGACCCTGCTAGTAGGATATACACAACTTGAGGGCAGACAATGCTAAGGAGCAGCTGAATCCTGGGATGAAGGGGATTTCTTTATCTACTAGAGCCAAATCTGGTGCGGTCTAAGACCCAGGAGGTGTCTCCCATGTCACACTGATAGCTGTGGCTGCTGTTGTTCCTTTTTGCAAGTCCAGCCAAAACCCAAGCTGAGTACATACTGCAAAGATGCAGATACACACACAATACTAACGTCATCAGCCACACAGACGAGAGCAGTGTCTTCACTGCTTCATCACCCACATACACACAAACAGCATTCCCATAAATACGAATACAGATAGCCCAATGCTTCTCTTCCTTCACAGCTGATCAAGATTGAAGTTTGCTGATGAAAACATACAGGTACACAACTCATAGGATTTGCAGTGCTCTCTTTCCCCCTCTGCCCTCCCTCTCTCCCCAGGTTCATGGAGAAATTTGGTAGAAATAGGATATAATAAAAAGACTGAATAGCCTGCCGTTATGGAGTGCATGGCTTAGTCATATAAACTCTGACCAGCAGCTTGCTTGCATACAACTGGTCCCTTTTATTCTACCTTCTCTTGATTTTTTTCCCATGCTTGTTCTTCCTCCATCCACATTGACCCCTCCCTTTCTCTGCCCTTCATATCCCAAAGAAACAACTGCCCCTCGTCGCTTTTTCCCCGTTAGTCCCAGTTTTGCTACACCTGTACCCACACACATTTTATATTTTTTCTACCATTACCTAGGTCACCTTGGCTTTACGTGGTATTATTAATATAGTTACTTAGGTGCTGGTAGCCTTGCCAGTTTCCACTCCCAAAAAAGTCCCTACTATTCCCTTCCAATTATCTGTGGACTTAGTCATGAAGTTGTCACATAACTCCCCCTTAACCTCCTGTAATGTCCAGCCATTGGTCACAGTGCTATCTGTAACTATTATCAGCTCCTCACTCTGTTATTTGTTATGTTCAGAGTTTCTCATGTCACATCCAGAGTTTCTTATGGTCTGTTTGGTTAGCTAAACCTCAGGCCAGGTCCTAGTCATCTATCTGCACACCTTAACAAACAGCAATTATTTGTTGATTAATGCCCACAGAAAATAGGTACGACTAACATGCTACAAGGCTCTACTTCTGGACAGATTCTATTGGCCAGGTGGTCATTGTCAGCTTCCAGTGTTCCTTGATGCTGACTGATGCTTTCTGTTGCTGGGTTGCTGTCTTCTGACTCTCCACCAGGGTTCTATACCTCCTGTCAGTAGTTTTCTCAGATCCATCAGAAAGCTAATACTGGCTTAATAGCAATGAAGCTTTCTTTTTCTTTTCTTTTCCTCCCCCCCCAGTTTTGAATTAGCTTTAGCTTGCTCAGATACCCCTCCACACCCCTCCCGCAAGCTTTTTGGTAAAGATAAGACAAGATCATGATGCAGCTGTGTGTGCATCATGAAACTGGACTCTGAGTCATGAAGTCTTCTCTTGTGGGTTATGTAAAGATTTTTGGAGATGTAGATGATGTCTTTGTACTGAAAGAGAAATGAATCAGGTAGTAGGCAGGGGAATACCGAGCAGAAGTGTATTTCACCTATTCCTATTACGCTCTGAGAGCACCAAAACTATCTTCATTTAGAAGTGACTAAAATGCTGATACAGAAATCTTTGAATACAAGTATCTGCAATGCTACAGAACATTTTAGCTGCAGAATGTTGTTTTGTTTCTTCTGTCAGGCTCTTCCTAATAGTCTTTGGACAAAATTCATAGCCAGTTTAAGTTCGGTGACTGTAGTATCTCCTTTTTGGGATGTATATTACTCTTGAAAATTTCCCTTACTAGAATTAAAATTACCAACAATAGTGAATGAGAAATTCTGCTGAAAAATTGCTTCTTACACTCAGCAGGCTTCATCCTTCTCTCAAATTCACTGATGTAACTCCTTGACTCAGTAATGTTTCTTTCTGATGCCACCCTGTGTACAGTAAATCAGCTCACAAGCAGTGTGCACCCATGTAAACTCTTTGAGAGGCTGATCAGTTGGTAGGAGGAAGTGGGAGAAATTAATCTTCTCAGCCTGGTCAGGTACCCAATACTGGCAGATCTTTGGGTGTCACACACACTACAAAGCCCATTTGAATGGGTATAACACAATGCTCCTAGCCCTTTGGAATAGGCATATGTTACAGGCTGTAAGTAACAGTGGGCTGCAGTTGTGACCTGCATGGGGGGGATCATGAACTACTGTGTGCCAGTCAAAACTGGTTCCAGCCTGCTTAGATGCAAGCCAAGCAACAGCAGAAAAAAACCACTGCACACTATAACCTTACT